CTCCCCACCATGGCTGAGCAGCAAGACCCCAGCAGCCCATCTCCCCCTGCCCAAGTCCATGCAGCCCCCCAAACTCCCACGTGAGACACTAACACCCCCACCTCAAACTCTGATTTTCCTCCACCCCCCCCACTCCACCTTCTCCGTAAACCCACCAGAGCATCCCCAGGGGAGGGGGCTGTGGTGCAGAACAGCACCAGCTCATCACACTGGTGTCCGAGATGGAGGTTTTCCACCCACTGCCCACGCCAAGGTGGGATATCACCCTTCTGTCCCCCCCTCCCCAAGTCATCATGGCACAGGAGGCACGCTTGCCAGGGACCCAGCCCCCCTTCCCACCCCATGGTGGGGGGGTGTGGGCTGTCCAGCAGCACCCCAAAGAGGCTAGTGGAACCCTGTGGGGTACACAGAGGCACTGGGGATGTCACCCCCCCACACCCTGAGCACCCAGGGGACTACACAGTCACCACAGCCCCCCCCACACACACACTGACTTAGCCCAGACTTTCTGCCACAGGTTTATTTCTAAAACAAGGCGGGTTCACACAACAGCAGGGTCTGGGGGAAGAGGGGAGTTCCCGGGGGTGACCCGGGCACTTCCAGCCGCTGTGGGGGCCATGGCCACAGCGTGGGGCTCCCCCGGGTCTGCCTCGGGGTCCCCCCCGCGCTGCCCACTCCGGTGACGCCGCACCGAGCGGCAGCAGCCGGCCGTGCCCACGGCGACGAGGATGGAGCACATGGCCACCATGGCCAGCGTGGTCCCGGGGAAAGGCGGCCCTGTGGGGACAAGCAGCGGGGTGAGGGGACAGCACTGTCACCCCATTTCCACCCCCACCCCCCCCATTCCCAGCACCGTGGGGCAGCTCGCACTCACCCGAGTCCTTCTTCTCCCCCCGCACCACGGGGACCGACGGGTGGCGAGGCGATGTTGTGCTGGGCTCCGGTGCCGTGAGGGTCGGGGAGGAGCTGGGCAGAACTGGGAGCAGCCCCAAGGGACCAAGGGGGACACTGGCTTCCCCCAGGAGCCCTGCAAGAAGAAGCCCGTGGGTACAAGCATCCCTGCTGAGGGCTCGTGGATCATCCCCACCGCCACTGAGGGGAGGTTTCTTACCTTCGCTGCCGGCCCCCCGCCGCCACCGCCGGCCCCCACAGCCAGCCGGAGAGCCACAGCACGAACAGTCAGCCTCATCTGGGGAGTGCCAGGAGGCTGCCACGGGGTTGTAGGAACAGGATTTGCCCGAGGTGCTGCCAGCCCCCTCTGTCACAGCCCTCAGGCGACAGCGGAGGTAGATCTGCAGGGAGAAGCATCCTCTTGCCACACCAGCCCAGCTGCTCCGTGGCTCGCCACGGATCCCCCCCCCATCCACCCCCCTTCCTCCCCAAACCCCGCTGGCACCGACCTGGCTGCCGGAGGCGTTTGGGAAGAGGAAGGTGTCCAGCTGGAAGCGGAGGAAGCGGTCACTGCGCTGGGGTAGGAAGTGGGAGCGACCAAGCTGCCCATCCAGCAGGCACCTGGCGGGATGGGAAAGGGGGTGAGCCGGGGCGCTGACACCCCCACTGTAGTCCCAGTGAGGTGGGAGAGCGATAATTTAGGGGCAGGCAGCAGCTCCACACACACACGCACCCCCGCCACGTTGTGTCCATCCCCGGTGCTCACCCGTTATCAGCAATGATCTGGTATTGCAGCCCTGCTGCCGAGCTCGGGCTGGCCACGCACTCGTCCACGAAGACCCTCAGGGGCAGGCGAGGGTCCGTGCTCACCGAGGCCTCGATGTTGATCAGCTCCCCCAGGGAATAGGTGGGCTGGCGCAGGCGGGAGGACCACGAACCTGGAAGGCCCATGGATGCCCCCAGCATCACCCCAGCCAGGCATGAGGGGGGGGGGCGTGAGGGTCCCCCCCCAGAAACAAGGGAATGAGGGGGTTTGGGGTTCCCCCCCACTCACTGTCATACGCATCCAGGGCGAAGCGCAAGCGTCTCCGGTGAGCGATGGTAGAGCTGAAGGGGACCCAGGTGGGCTGGATGGCCCCCGATGAAACGCTCCCCATCCTGCGCCACAGAGCAGCCTCGAGTGGGGTGGGGGGTAGGGGACAGGCAGGGCAACCCCGCTTGCCACGTCCCCCCATGGGTGAGCACCCCCCTGCCTAGGATGGGCCAGCCAGCCTGACACTGAGGGGTCCCGCTGTGGATTGCGCCCAGGGGATGTGGAGGGGGGACACACACACACATCTCCACAGGGCTCCCTGCTTACCTGGGGTAGTAACAGTCCACAGGGAGGGAGAAGGTTCTGGTGCGAGCCACGGGCCCCCCCGCCAAGGGACGGTAGCGGAGGACGGTGCTGTAGCGGATGCTGTCTGGGAGGAGCTGGAGGAACGAGCAGACACAGGGTTGGAATTGTCACCCAGCTGAGAGCGGGTGTCCCCTCCCTGTCCCCAGCACCCCGGGAAGGGTTCTGCCTGCCCAGGAGCCAGAAAGCTCCTCGGCACACGGTGAGAACCAGGTTTCAGGTCAGCAGTAACAGCCCTGCTCGCTTTAACCGGTGCTCCCCGCCTCGCACAAAGGCGGGGGGGCTCTCCCCATGGGGACAGCAGGACCTAGGGGTCCAGCTCTGCAGCTCACCCAACACATGGATGCTCTGCTCAGCACAGGCACCCCAGGGAGACGGGTGGTCACGGAGAACTTGCCAACGACTCTCCCATGGGTTTGCCACCCAAGCTTTGGGGGGTCAGGGGCAAGGATACCCCCAACGCTGTCCCCCCCCACCTCTCGATGGGGACACAGTCTCCTCGCTTCCCTCCTACACCCACCCTGAGGGCCACCCTGCTGCTGCACACCCCCACCCGTGATATGTGGGGCATCCCCCCCCCTCCCAGTTCCTCACCTCCAGTGTGGTCCCGCAGCCCATGAGTGGGTGCTCCAGCCGGTACCCAGCCCCATCAGCAGCCGTCACCCCGCAGCCAGACCCCAGCGTCAGCTCCCCGCTAGCCACACGGCTCCCCAAGAAGCTGGTCGGCACCACCACGGAAAGCCACGTGTGGCCACACGTAACAGAGACTGTGGCGAGACAAGAAAAAGCTGAGCCAGCAAAATGGGGGGGACCCCCCCCTCCCCGCCTCCCTCGACAGCTACCTGCTCCCAGGGGTGCAATGTCCCCTCGAGTTCCCCCATTGTCACATTTACAGCCATGGTCCTCCTCAGGCAACAGCATGTGCCCCCCACCCCACAGCAAAGACCCCAGTGTAGGGGGCACTGCCCACTCCCCTAGGACTTGGGGAGGGCAGCCAGACCCAGCACAACTCCCTCCCCCCCAAAAATAGCCCCTTACCCAGAGCATCCTGCGCCCAGGCTACAGCCACAAGGAAGAGCACAAACAACTTTCTCCCCAGAGCCTTCATCATGGTGGAGGAGGAAGAGAAAGGGCAGCCCCCACTGATGGTTTTTACACCTGGGCCAAGGGCGGCGGCCACAGCTCTCCCAATGGGAGGCTGGGTGGTTCCCTGCAGCCCCCCCCAGCCCCTCACACCCACCTGGGGCTCATCTCCCTGCTCCTTCTCCTGGTCCTGGTCTCTGCTCCAGTCCCAGTCCCTGTCCCCATCCCTGTCCCCAATCCCTGTCCCCATCCTTGTCCTTACTCCAGCCCCACTCCTTCCCCTGTTCCTGATCCCTGCTCCGGCCCCAGTCCCTGTCCCCATCCCTGTCTTCATCCCCGTCCCCATCCCTGTCCCAATCCTTGTCCTTGCTCCCACCCTGCTCCTTCCCCTCTTCCTGGTCCCTGTCCCCATCCCTGTCCCCATCCTTGTCCTTGCTCCAGCCCCGCTCCTTCCCCTGGTCCTGGTCCCTGCTCCAGCCCCAGTCCTTGCTCCTGCCCTGGGAGGTGTGGGGGAGGCATGATGGTGAAGGTGGGGGTCAATCTCTGGCTGTGTGCTGCCCTCCTCCCCTTAAAAACAGGCTGGTCCCCGCACACAGGGTGACGAGTGTGTTCTTGGGGCACCCTCCTGCTGGGGAAACTGAGGCACGGGAGGGCACTGAGCCCTTTCCCTTGGGCTGTGCTGGGGCAGGGGAAGGGGTGACGGTGGGGACACCAAGATGGGCTGGGCTGGTCCTGACACTGCCCTTGGGAGCCCATGTCACCCCCCGAACTCATGGTGACCAGCCCTGGGGCAGAAGATCATCCGGTCAGTGGACCCAGAGCTGCCCCCACGTCCCCACTCGCCCCACCGCTGCCCCCACGGGAGGCAGAGCTGCTGCGTGACTGCAGCCCCTCCGTGGTCAACCCCCCACACCAGTAAGGAAGGTCCCCACCAGTGCACTCCACCCCAGGCACAGAATCCAGCATTTGTTCTTGTTAAATTTCCTGACGTTTCCCAACCAGCCAGATCCCTCTGCAGGGCTCATCCCTCGAGAGAGTCACCAGTACCTCCCAGTTTGGTATCAAGGGCACTGGCTGGTCTCCAGCCAGGTGGTGTCCCATTCCTGACCCCGCTTTGAGCCCAGTCCAGCCAATTCCTCACCCGGCACACCCCGTCCCTGATCCTCTCACAGCTGGACACCGTGGCCAGAAGGATGCTGCGAGGGACAGGATCAAAAACCTTCCTAAATTTGAGAAAAACAACACCCACCGCCTTCCCGTCACCCACGAGGCGGGTGCCCTTATCGGAGCAGGATTTCAAACCAGTCGGGCAGGACTTTCTCTTTGTCAACCCATGTTGACTGTAGCTGACGATTGCATAACTCTTTAAATATATTTCAAGAGTCCTCGGACTAATATTCTCCATCATTTTTCCAGGAACTGAGGTCAGACCCGCAGGTCAGTAGTTCCCCGGGAGTACAAACACCTTTTTTTAAATTGGGGTACGGCTGGTGAGCCGCCAGCCAGCGGGGACTTCCCCAAGCGCCCATGACCTTGGGTAGATGATTGAGGGGTGGGGGGGGGGAGGAGTCCTGGTGTGACACCCACCAGCTCCTTCAGTGCCGTGGGACGAGGAACCTCCAGCCCCATGGATACAACTGGTCCAACTGGTCCTTTGGGAATTCAGTGACCTCAAATGGAAAATCACTGCCCCTGCAGCCGTGACCCTCCAGTGACCCTCCAGCTCCGTTTGACACCCTTGGGCACACAGATAAGCCGGTGGCGGTGCTATGACGGCTGTGGGAGGGCAGGTGACCGGAGAAGGGCACTGGTAGCAGTTAAAAGCAGAAAGGAACACCTGGAGAGACGAGTGAGTGCCCACAGGATTCTGCCGCCCCGAGTAGACCTGCTTGCCCTGAGGACAAGAGGATGCTCGGCGTGGCTTTCAGCATCGGGGTCCTGCTGGCCCTGGCAAGCGGGACGGCCACCCACAGCTGCGGTGAGTGGCACTGGAGAGGGACCGGTGACCTCACGAGGGGCTGCGTGGAGGGGTCCCTGGTGACCTCCCGCCACCGGTGCCAGCGGGGTGCCCGGCCCCTCTCCTTCTTTCCAGTCGCCCCACACCATCTGGTCTCCAAGATGCTGCGACACCTGGAAGACTCCGTCAATGTGGACGAGCCACCAAACCCCAGTGTCCTGCTGGCCATGAACCTGGCCAGGGCCACCGGCACCAGCACCCACAAGGAGCTGCTCCAGGAGATAGAGAAGGAGGCTGTGAAAAGAGCCCAGAAAGGTAGGGAGGGGGTGTGGGGTGCACCCCTTTCATCCCCACAGACCCGGTACCGCAGGCTCGGCACCGCTGGCTCGCTCTGCCCTGGTTGGGGATGGGGGTGCCAGATCCTGTCCCCGCCGTGTGCCCCGGCTGCGTTCTTGTCCCCACAGACATGCCCTCAGGCGAGGTGGCTCTGTACGTGCTCGCCCTCCTCTCCTCCTGCCAGAACCCCCGGCACGTCCAGGCGCTGGGGCAGAGCGTCGACCTCCTCCGCGTCCTGCAGCAGAAAATGGATGAGGAGATGGCCAGCCTGGGTACGCTGGGACGGAAGGGAGGGTTTTGAGGGGGTGGGTGTCTCCCTCCCCACGCCCCAACCCCCCTCCTCAGCTCACGCCACGTTGCTTCGCAGAGGCGGAGGGCATCCCGAAGACCACCCTGTACAGCGTGAGCCTGGACACCCTGGCCCTGTGCCTGGCAAGAGCGGGTGGCTACCAAGGGGCATCTGTGGTCCTGGCCAAGCGGGTGCTGAACCCTGACATCCACCTCTCTGTGGGTAAGAGACCTCCGCGGGCCCCCCGCTCCAGCCCCCCGGGCTTGCAGTGCCGGCGGGCTCGGCGGTGATGCCGGGATCTTGCAGACACCCGTGCCGTGGCGGCGCTGGCAATGGCATGTGCGTACGGCCACACCGACCTCCACGACGTGCGGGATCTGCTCCGGGAGGCACTGTCGGTGGTGACCAACGGCTTCCTGGACGAGCAGGAGAAGGGGCATGGCGTGATCGGGAACATTTACAGCACGGGGCTGGCCCTGCAGGTATCGGGGGGGGGGGGGGGTTGTCTGCAGTGCCGTGACCGCTCGCTCCCGGGGCTTCTCACGTCGTTTCTTCCCTCCTCCGCAGGCGCTGGAAGCCACGGGCGAGTTTTACGCCCCACGGGAGTGGGATTGCGCCCAGGCTTTCTCCATGGTGTACAGCCACGACTACCAGCAGCCCATGGCTATCGCCCAGGTCCTGCCCGCCCTCGTGGGCAGATCCTACCTGGAAGCAGCTAGCCTGAACTGCGCCGGCAGAGACGGTATGTCCCCAAACTGATGAATTTTCCCTGTCCCCAAAGCCGGGTTCACAGAAGCACGGTACCGCCCATTGGGGATGATGCTCCCGCGGCCCCATGGCACCCACCTTGCCCCTCTCCCCCCCCCACCCAGCACCCACCATCGAGGTGCACTACTCCATCATCAACAAGCTGCAAGGAAAGCACTTCAGCTACAGCACCTCGGTGCAGGTCCCGAGCGGCTCCACGCTGCTCAGGGTGCTGCAGGCAGCGGCGGCGGAGGAACCCGACATCTTTAAGTAAGAGCCAGAAGTGGGGAGAGGGGGGACTGTGGCATCCCCCCCCCCCCCCACCTCTACTAAGCCCTGAGCCCACCCACCCCCCGGTAGGTTCCAGACGGAGCAGACATCTTGGGGTCCCATGGTGGTCTCCATCCACGGGCTGGCAGCCAACGTGAAGGACAGGACATACTGGCAGTTCCTCAGCAGCGGGGACGCCCTCCAGGAAGGTGGGTAGACTGGGATGGGGGGGGGGGGGGCATATTGGGGGGCTGCGGGGCCCCGGTTTCACGCCTGTCCCTCTGCCGCAGGGGTCGGTTCCTACAAGCCGCACGACGGGGAGCACATCCAGGCTGTCTTCAGCACCTACTGACGCCAACGGGGGATGCTTGGGGGGCAATAAAGAGCCATGGGGACAAGGCCTTGGGGAGAGGGTTGTGATACCTGTGAACTAAAATGATCAGAAAATAGATATTTGTGGAGTAGAATTATTAAGGTCGATTTGAGCTGTTTTAACCAGTTAACTGGCGTGCTGCAGATGGGACCAAACCCATATACATAAAGGAATAGAGTAACTGTAGGATAAGGAACTCGTAAATCATCTTGCTCGAGACGGTTCAGCCTCATAGCAGCAGCTGCAAAGAAACATAAAGATAAGGAAGCTGCAAATTAGCAAAAAAACCCCACACCAGGCCAGCCTGGAAGGACAAGATCTACGTGAGCAGAGGGTTGAGTTGGTGCAGAAATAAGGGTCAACTGGTGGACACAGTGAAGAAGACTATGAGCCTTCATCTAAAGAACCCCTAAAGACTCCAACAGGCATGCTCAAGAGATACTAACATATGCTAATGAGTTCCCAGAAAAGTTATTAATATGATAAAAATATGATAAAAATCCAATTAATATGTATGATTAACGTAGTATAAATGCTTGTTGATTTTGTTTTCAGACACACACATGAGGAGAGCTCTCCTCCTGTGTGTCCAGCGCTGTAATAAAGAATTCCTGCTTTCTAAAACTCCAGAATTGAGTCTTAGTGAATTAATTACCGTTTTCCGGTAACAGTCGGGGCAGGCGTGGGTGTCTCGATGGGACACGGAGGCGGGGGGCGTGCCGCCCCGTGGGAACCCACGCCCGGGGTAAGGGGGGCCGGGGGCGACGTCGTGGAGGGACATTGGGGTGGGGTGGGGGGTGTCCCACCCCCACGGAACTAATGTTCCCCGCCCGTGTTTCCCGGGTTGGGCGGACCGACGGACGGAAGTGTCCCCACGGCCGTGTGTCCGTCTGTCCGTCCGTCCGTCCGTGTGTCTCCCGGTATTTCCGTCCCGGGGATGTGGCGATGGCGGCTGCCGCGGTCGCTCCCGGCTGGAGGAGGTGGGGTCGCCGGCTCCCACGCGTGACACACACACACACACCCCCGCCGTGGGTGGGAGCTCCGGTGTTGGGATGGCCGGGCCCCCCCCCCCTCTCGCTGTAACCGGTTGGAGTCCGGGACTCCCTGGGCAGCTGTGGGGGGATGTGAGGATCGGGGGGGGGGGGGGGTGGGGGTTATGGGGATCCAAGGAGGGGGGGCAGATATGGGGATCGGGGTGGGGGGGGTTGTGGGGGTCCAGGGATCCGGGGGAGGCGGGAATGTGGGGATCGGGGGGGGGGGGGGCGCGGATATGGGGATCCAGGGATGGGGGGGAATGTTGGGGTGGGGGTGGGGATGTGGGGATTGGGGGGAAGTGTGTGTGGGGGATCTTGGCGGGGGGGATGTGGAGATCCGGGGGGAGGAATGTTGGGATCCAGGGATCTGGGATGAGGGGGGGATGGGGGGATCGGGGGGGGGGGGGGGGGGGGGATGTGGGAATCAGGAGGGAGGAATGTTGGGATCCAGGGATCTGGGATGGGGGGGTGATAGGGGGATTGGGGTGGGGGGGGAGATATGGGCATCAGGGGGGAGGGGATAGGGGGATTGGGGGGGGGTATGTGGGAATCGGGAGGGAGGAATGTTGGGATCCAGGGATCTGGGATGAGGGGGGGACTGGGGGGGGGGGGGGGAGATGTGGAGATCCAGGGATGGGGAGTCCTTCCTGATGCTGCTGGAGGTGCTCCTAGGAAGCGGGGCCACCCCCAGGCCCCCCTCCCGGTGCATCAGGTCCCCCCCACCTCCCGCTGGCCTTGAGTCCCCACTCTGTCCCCCAGGTCCCGTCACCGTCCCCCGGGCAGGCCTCAAGAATTACGTGATGCCCCCGGACTACAGCGGTAAGGGGGGGGGGAGAAACCCTCCACGGGGATAACGGGGGCACCCCCCGATCTGCTGCTGCCTGCGTCCCCCCTTCACCGGGGTGTCGTTGGGGGCTGGTGACCGTCATGCGTGTGCCCCCCCCCCCCCGCTCTGGCAGATATCACCTTCCCGGAAAAAAACGAAGCTGAGGTTCATGGAGAAGGTGCCAGCGGTGCCCAAGGTCAGGCGGGAGCCCCGGCGGCTGCGTGACATCCGCGGCCCGTCCCGGCAGGCCACCGACTTCACGGAGGGACAGTACGGGATCCTGGTGAGCGGGATGGGGAGACCCAGCCACGGGCGGTGGGGTGGCGAGGGGGAGAAACCTTGGGGGGGGGGGGGGGGGGGCGGAGGGGGGAAGGTGTCAGAGTGGGCACCCGCAGTGCTGAGCCCTTCCTTGGGGGTGGGGTGGGGGGAAACTCCAAATTAAACCCGCAACTTGAGGGGACCGGTGCTGAACTGGCTCTGAAAAGCCGCATTGACTGAGCTACCTCCGTCGGGACCTGGTTTCCCCAGCGAGAGGTTAAGGAATATAATACTGAGCTTAAATTGGGATGGTGGCTCTGAGACATCCTTAGTGCACCCGTCCCCCCAAAAAATTGCTTGTGAAGAGGAGGGGCAGGACAAGGGAACCCCTGTCCCCCCCCTTCGCCCTGCCAGCGCTCGATCCCTGAGGCGCCCCATCCTTCCCCCCCTCAAATGCAGGCTTTGGGAGGTGGGTACCTCCACTGGGGTCACTTCGAGATGATCCGCCTGACCATCGGCCGCAGCATGAACCCCAAGACCATGTTCGCCGTCTGGCGCGTGCCGGCCCCTTCCAAACCGGTGACGCGGAAGAGCCTGGGGCATCGCATGGGGGGCGGCAAGGGCCCCATCGACCACTACGTGACGGCGGTGAAGAGCGGGCGTTTGGTGGTGGAGGTCGGCGGGCGCTGCGACTTCGGGGAGGTGAAACCCTTCCTCACGCAGGTGGCCAGGAAACTGCCCTTCCCCGCCATCCCCGTCAGCCGCGACAGCCTCGAGCAGATGCGGCGGGAGGAAGAGGAGAAGAAGCTCAACAACCAGAACCCCTGGACCTTCGAGCGCGTCGTCACCACCAACATGCTGGGGATGCGCAAGTACCTCAGCCCCTACGACCTGCAGCTAAAGGGACGCTACTGGGGCAAATTCTTCCTGAAACACAGGGTGTAACGAGCGGCTGGGGAGGGGACCGCTTTAATTAAACCTTCCCCCTGCAAGAACCTCCGTCGGGTCGGCCGCTGTGGTTTTTGGAGGTGCAAACCACGGGGCTGGGAGCACCCCGGAGGGGATGAATTGCAGCCGGGCTTGTTTCCCACTGCTGAGACATGCGGCGCCCCGGAGCAGAGCGTGGGGGGATCTTTTTATTGGGGAGAAAGGCTCCGGCGGGGGCGGCTGCACATCCGAGGAGCCAGCGAGACGGAGAAATCGCCGCAGATCCAGCTCCGAGTGAGGGGAATGGCTCCTCCTTCCCTCCACATCGCTGCTCCGGGGAGGAACGTGGCTCCTCCATGCCGCCGAGGAGGGGGCTGCTTTTCGCAGGGGCCGCTGATCCTCAGCCAAAGAGAGGATGGGGAGCGAGGCGGGGGGGATTTTGGGGCGTTCACCCGGCAGTGGGAGGGAAGGAGCAGGGCAGGTGGTCTCCGCCCCTCCGGGGATGTGAGGGGTGTCCTTGGAGCTCCGGGGACCGAGGGCTTGGCAGGCGGGTCCCGGAGCCGGCGGTCAGGGTCTCTCTGACGGTTGGAGCCGCGGGCAGAGGGGCAGGAGGGGGAAAGGCCACCTGTAACAGGGAGGAAGATCAGGCGAAGCTGAGGAAGGGGAAGCCGTCCCTGTCCTTCCCTGATGTGGCAACTGGGGGACGCCTGGTCTCTGCCGGTGCCTTACAGACGCACTGGCAACTCCAAGGCAGGGGGGTGAATCCCACCCGCGTCAACCCCACCGAGGCCTGAACCCACTCCCCAGGCGTGGGGTGGAACCGGGGACCCCCACTGCCACCCCCCCGCCATGCGCCCGGTCACCTGGAGGGCAGTGGGTGTGTGTGTGTGGGGGGATGTCTCAGGCGAAGATGCTCCCAATGCTGGCAGCCAAGATGATGACGAGGACGATGCAGCATATCATGATCAAGATCTTCTTCTGCGTGGGGAGAGAGGGGCTGTGAGGCAGGGCTGCGGGTGACACGGGGCCGGGGAGAAGGGACAGGGGCTGGGGAGGAGGGACAGGAGACAGGGACGGGCTGGGGTGGCAGCGGGGTGGGTAGGAGCTGGTCCTGTGTCCCCGTGGGACGGGGGTCAAGCACCAGCATGAGACGTGTCCCCGTCACCGTGACTTGCCCAAAACCACGGGGGAGGATGGTCTGGCCTAAAGGGCCAAGTCCATGGGATTTAGGGGATGTCCCCAGCCCCATACTTCCCCATCACATCACCCTGAGGGTCTGCGTCCCCCCAAAAATGGGGGCTGGTCCCAGACCCCTCAGCTAAAGCTGCCAGCCTGGCCGCAATGCCAAGTGTGCCATGAGCTGAGCTGGAGCCGTGCTCAGCCCCTTCTGCTTCGAATATCTGGGGGTGCCAGCACCCCGCTTGTCCCCGCAGCACTGCGTTGCGCACGGAGCAGCGGAGAGGCGCAGGGCAGGAGTCAGCGGGGATTTTTATTTTAACGGGAATTAAATAACCACGACCACCGCCGCCTCCTCCTGCCCCAGCTCCCCACAGCACCGGGGCAGTCAGTGTCAGGGCAGGGGGGGGGGACACGTGCCAGCCACAGCCATCGAGAGGGGACAGGGTCCCCGGTGGGCTCTGTCTGCCACGGTGAATAGCAAAGCATGGCCAGACCCACTGGTGCCACCAAACCCGCCCTCCCCCAATCCTGGTCGTACCCCTGTCCCTTGTCCCTCTGTGGGTCCAGCCCTCACCCACCCCCCCACCCCCAGCAAGGCGCTTCATCACCTATTGCATCGCCAACGTAGCCCCCCAGCCCCTTCAAACCGCTCCTCCCCCCCCCCCCCCCCAGCAAGAGGAGGGAGATCAGGGGATGTTGATTTATCAGCAAAGGGAAAATAAATAATTGAGTTCTGTTCCCTTCCCTTGGGGCACATGAGGACAAGAAGGGCAGACCCCAGGGACAGGCAGGACAGCAGTGGAGGGGTTGGTGGGGGAGACGGCTCCGGTGTCGGGGTCCCTCTGTGGAGGGGGGAGTCCCCAGGGTGGGAGCCCGGACGCCGGGGCTGAGGGCAGCAGGTCTGGGAGAAGTGGGGAGAGGAGGGGGCCGGGCTGCGGTGCTGGGGAGGGTCCCACTGGGAGACGTCGCTGCTGGGATGGTCGGAAGGGTCTGGAGGAGGGAAAAGGGGGGAGATGTCAGCCCCCCGTGGGAAGGGGGGGGGGCGAGGGGTTGCAACAGGGAGGGCAGAGACTGACATGGGGAATGCACAGCCAAGCATGGAGCTGAAATTCAGACCCCTGAGTGCTGCAGATCCCTGAGCACTGCAGACCCCCGTGCAGCACAGACCCCCCCCCAAGCAACACAGACATGAGGCCACCGGCCGACGAGCACCCAGCCCCCAGAGCCCAGCGCCCCCAGAGCCCAGCACCCCCAGATCCCAGCACCCCCAGCCCTAAAGGTACCACCAGAAACTAAAGCACCGGACACAGACCCCGACGCGGACAGGGCATGGCGGGGGGGTGGGGGTGGCGGGGGGCAGCCCAGCCGTGCCCACTTGCCGTCCCCAAACCCTCCAGGGCACTGTGGCCCCGTGGTGGGGCTCCCCTCAACACACACACACACATACACACCCCCCCAACACTTACAGACCACAGCCCCCAGCTCGGAGGCTATTTCTTGTTTAACCCCACAGAAAGTCCAATGATGAGGGCAACTGTCACCAGCAAGAGGACCACTATGGCTGCCAAAATCAGCATCTTCTGGAGGGGGTGAGAGGGGAGGTGGGGGCCCGGTTACGCCTGTCCCATGCCGGGGTGGGGACATACATGGAGAGCAGAGGTGGGCACAGAGGAGCCCAGAAGAGCCAGAGATGCTTCAGACAGGGCAGGAGGGGCTGAGCCCTCACCAGCTCATCTCACCTGAGGGCAGGAGGGGGCTCAGGGCTGGGTCTGGTGGGGGGGACAGAGAGGGACGGAGCTGCCAACCCCGTGGAGGTCACAAGGGAGGGTCAGGGACCAGTTGGGGTGGCTGGGAGGGTCACTGGGAGCAGGTGGGAGCCATTGGGGTCATCTGGAGGTAGATGGGGGACACGAGGGGTGGCTGAGGAACACAAGGGGTGGCTGGGGGACACAAGAGGTGGCTGGGGTCACAAGGGGTTCTCGGGGTCACTGGAGGATATGGGGAGATGCTGGGAGCACTGGGAGATGTGAAGGCACACTGAGGGACACGGGGGACACTGGGGGTGCGTTTGGGATGCTGGGGGTTGTGGAGGGGACACTGGGGGACACTGGGGCCGTTGGTCCATCTCACCCTCCTGGCCTCACTTTGGTACTTCACGGCCTTTTTGGTGTCGGCCACGGCCCGTTCCACAAAGCCGACGGACTGGTCCATGTTGCTCTCTATGCGGTCGATCATGGCTCCCTACGGAGCGGGGCGGGGGGGCGGCGGCAGAGAGAGACAGAGAGGGGGGACGGGGGGGACGGACACACACACACACACAGACAGAGACTCTGAGAGCACCCAGGGGTGCCGGCACCCACCCACCTTGCGCGCCTGGCCCTGGTACTGGAGGGCTTGCTTGGTCTGCTGTTTTGCCTGCTCCACGTGCTCGGCTGCATGCATCACGTGCTGCTCCACGTTATCCAGCAGCCCACCCTGCAGGGATGGGAGAGGGGGGATAGGATCAGTGGGGACCCCGTGGCAGGGCCCCCCCCACACCCAGATCCCCCCCACAGCGCGTGGCAGGGTCCCCACGGCGCAGGTACTTACCCATCCCCGGTGCACACAGGGGCTCCTCGCATGGCATGGGGGGGGGGACACGGGACAAAGAGGAGCTGAGAGAGGGGCTGGGGCCACCACAGTTTGGGGGGGGGTACCCCTGCTTCCCTCCCCCAGGTCCCCATGGGCTTGGGTGGCTGGGTGGCCCTGCAGGGGACCTGTGCACTGGTCACCACCCAGCCCTGTGTGGCTGCGGACCTGGGTCCCCCTGCGTGGCCCTGTGCCACCCCGTGTCCCCATGGAGCCCTGTGCCACCCTGTGTCCCCATGGGACCCCACGCAGCCCCATGACAGGTCCTTGCTTGTTTCCATGCACAGTTTCATGTTTGTCCCCATGCAGCCCTGCCTGTCCCCATGCAGGGTCCCTGCCTGTCCCCACCCCAGGTCCCTGTCTGTCCCCATCCCATTCCCTGTCTGTCCCCATCCCAGGTCCCTGTCTGTCCCCATCCCATGTCCCTGTCTGTCCCCATCCCATTCCCTGTCTGTCCCCATCCCAGATCCCTGCCTGTCCCCATCCCATGTCCCTGCCTGTCCCCATCCCATTCCCTGTCTGTCCCCATCCCAGGTCCCTGTCTGTCCCCATTCCAAATCCCTGCCTGTCTCCATTTCAGGTCCCTGTCTGTCCCTCTTCCAGATCCCTGCCTGACCCCATCCCAGATCCCTGCCTGACCCCATCCCAGGTCCCTGCCTGTCCCTATTCCAGGTCCCTGTCTGTCCCCGCGCCGCCCGTACCTGGTTCTCCACCAACATGGCAATGTCGACAAACATGTCGTGCAGCTCCTTGATGCTGCTCTCCAGCCGCACGATGTCCTTGTGCCGCCCCTCGATCTCGCTCAGCGCCTGCTTCGAGATCTGCGAGTCCATGATCTGCAACGGAGCGGGACAGGGGGCCGGGCGGGAGCCGTCAGCGGGGGGGTCCTGGCCCCCCATGTCCCCCCCATGTGCCCCCTGGGGCGGTGGGCTCTCACCCCCGAGGTGAAGATGGAGGGGTTCCCGCTCTCCAGCATCTCCTCCAGCTCCTCGTCCGTCGTGTTCTTCCCGGCTGCGGGCATGTGTGGTCAGTGGTGCCCACGGGCCCCCGCTCACTCCAACAAGGGGGCGTGGCCTGTGTGGCCTGAGCCCACCCACTTCAAAAATAATGGGTGGGGTCTATAGTGCCAGACTCCACCCACTTTACCAAATAGAGGGGTCTTTAGTGCCTGGCTCTACCCACTTTACCGAAGGGGCGGGGTCTGTAGGGGGGCTGACTCCACCCATATTGTCAAAGGGGAGGGGTCTCTAATGCCCAGCTCCACCCACTTTACAAAAGAGGTGGGGTCTGTAGGGGCTGGCTCCACCCATTTCACCAAAGGGGAGGGGTCTGTAGTGCCTGGCTCTGCCCACTTTACCACAGGGGCAGGATCTGTAGGAGCTGGCCCCACCCACTTTACCAAAGAGCCCATTTCATCAAAGGGGAGGAGTCTTTAGTGCCAGGCCCCACCCACTTTGCCGAAGGGGTGGGGTCTGTATGAGCTGGCTCCACCCACTTTGCCATCCAGCCATGCTATTTAGGGCCTAGCCCCACCCACTTCCCCAAGGGGGCTGGGTTTGCAGCCACAGGCCCCGCCCCTTTGCCCGAGGGGCGGGGCCTGGGGGGGCGTGGCACACGCACTGATCTCGAGCTGGCGCTGGATCCGGCCCTTGCTGCGCTCCCGAAAGTCGACCTGCGCCTCGTTGTACTTGGTCATGACATCAACGAACTTGCGGGACAGTACCGAATGCTGGGGAGATGGGGACAAAGACACGGGGTTGGGGGCACCACCCCCCAGGCACAGCGTTTCCCCAGCCCCGGGGTGACACAGCCCCGCCATGGGGATGGGGACAGGGACATGGGACAACCCGGGTATGGCGCATCCCCATGATCCATTTTCCCAGGGGACAGGAGCGAGGACAAGGGTGTGACACTGGTGACACCCCGGGTATGGCATGTCCCAACCCCTGGGGACAGGACCCCGCGCTGCAGACAGGGATGGGGACACGGGACACCCTGAGCATGGCACGTCCCCATGAGCCATTTTCCCAGGGGACAGGAGCGAGGACAAGGGTGTGACACTGGGGACACCCCGGGTATGGCATGTCCCAACCCCTGGGGACAGGACCCCGCGCTGCAGACAGGGATGGGGACACGGGACACCCTGAGCATGGCACGTCCCCATGAGCCATTTTCCCAGGGGACAGGAGCGAGGACAAGGGTGTGACACTGGGGACACCCCGGGTATGGCATGTCCCAACCCCTGGGGACAGGACCCCGCGCTGCAGACATGGCACATCCCATGAGCCATTTTCCTAGGGGACAGGAGCAAGGACAGGGATGTGACACTAGGGACACCCCTGGCATGGCACAGCCCTGGCCCAGGGGACAAGACGGGCGGCTGGAGATGGGGAGTCAGAGCAGTGACACTCTGGGCATGGCATATCCCCAGCCCCAGGGGACAGGGCAGGATGAAATTCTGGGAATGGGGACACGGGCCGTGAGATCTGTAGGACACAGGAGGTGACATGTCCCAGCCTGCAAGGGACAGGACAGAGCGCTGGGGACAGGGCAGAGGGACACGAAGCCTGGGAGCACCCAAACATGGTGTGTCTGGGATGGGGTGCTGCTGGGGCCAAGGGAGAAAGATGGGAGACCCGAGGACACCCAGAACATGCCACGTCTTCAGCCCACGGGGGACAGGGTGGGACAGAGTGCTCAGGACCTGGGGACGGGGACGGGGACATCCCCGACAGCGGCTCTCAGGGACCGGAGCTCACCTGGGATTTGCGTATGCGGAGGTCGGCAGAGGACCGCACCTCGTCCTGCTCGATGCTCCTCTCCATGCCTGGGGACAACACGTCAGGGACCTTCCCCAAGCCACCAGACCCGCCCTGGCCCCACTGTCCCCAGCTCACCCTGCCCTCCCCACAGGGACACGGGGACCCACGGGGCTGGGTGACCCGGCGGTGGGGACACGGCTGCTCACTTTTCAGCTTGTTGCGGACGCTGTTGGCCATTTTCTTGATCTCCACCGTCAGCTGCTCCAGGTCGTCTTTGTTTTCTGCGGGGGCCATGGCACCTCAGACGGGGAAGCCACCACAGGAATGTCCCCAAGAAGGGGACCGGGGCCCTGGGGAGGGGGATGTGACCACCTCACTCACTCTGCTCAGGGATGGGGGCTGCGAGGATGATGCTGTAGAGCTTCTTGGCTTCCTCCACGTTCTCTGAGATCTTGTCGATGTTTTGCCTGGTCTCTTCGATCTAGACAAGCCGGGGAGGATGAGGACGGGTCAGAAGGCAGCTCTGTGCCCCCTGTCCCTGTGCCCACCCACCCCACCCCCCAATTCCCCCCAACCCTCACCTCCGAAAAAAACTCATCCATGAACGCCGTGTTGTCAACGGAGATCTCCAGCTCCTCCGTGTCATCGTCCACATCTTGCTTCTGTGGGGTGCAGCCGGGCAGCACTCAGGGGTGGCACCTCCCTGCCCGGCCACCACACACCCCCCCCGGGGACATCCCCCAGGGTGACAGTCACCCCCAAGGGGACAGGGCGGCCACCAGCCAGCCCAGTTCTGCAGGATGCAGCCATGGAGACACGGTGGCCCAAGGTGGGGGACACACACACACGCTGAGCTTGTTTCACATCTGGCTACGCAGGGCTGGGGAATTAAGGGATTTCTGGGCTGGCACCAAAGGAGGGGACTGGGATGGGGTTTTATGTCCCCAACCATCGTCCCACGGCGGGTCTGAGCAGCGCTGGGGGCCCAAAAAGCAGCTGTCGCCCATCACCCCGGTGTCGCGCCTGTCCCCTCCCCACCACCATGGGGTCCCAACTCCAGCCCTTCCCAGGGTGCCAGCCCCAACCCCCTCCACCCCCCCCCCCCCCTCAGCTCCACCAGCACCCTGAGGGTGCCCAGTGCCCAGCTGTGGTGTCCCCAGGAAGGGGGGCAGACCCTTGCTGGGGACCCCCGGCCTCCCCCCACCACCACCTCCTCCCACCGAAGTAAAAATAAAATTAATCCCTTCTCTCCCTCCCAAGGGTTTTATCTGATGGCTTTGTAATCCCCGCTAAATCCCCGCCAAGCCTCCCTGCCACGGCTGCTTGCCCCACGCTGGGGTCCATGTATAAGTTGGGGGGCTGCTGGGGACCCCCCCCAGCCCGCGGGGGGGAGCCAAAACTGGGGTGGGGAGGCCTCCTGGGGAGTGGGGGGCAGCAGGGCCCCACGGCAGGACGGGCAAAGGGAGGAGGAAGCGGTGATGGGGAGCACGGCGAGGCGTGAGGCACGGGATGGGGTGCTGGCCCCTGCGGGCATCCCCACATCCTCTCCCTTCCCCCCCCCCCGGAGGATGGACACACACCCCACACCCCCACTCCCCCCCGGCCCCACGCAGCTGTGGGGGGGGCTGTTGTCTCCCCTTTGCACCCCACAAAATGGGGGGAATAACTTTCACCAGGACGGGGTTGATTTCCCCCCCCCTAAAATTCCCCCCACAGCATGGGGGGAACAACTTTCACCGGGGGCTTGATATCCCCCCCTAAAATCCCCCCACTCTCCCAACAGCACAGGGGGCTGTCCCCCCATCCCTCCCCCCGACACCCCCATTGCCGCGGGGCTGGCTTGCCGGGCCCCTCATCTCTGGGGGTGCCCTCATCCACCCTGGTGAGGGGGTCTCAGGGACCCCATCCCCATGACAGCCCCATCCCCCCATGGGGTGGGGGCTCGGTGACATACATCCATCTCTGTGACACCCCCATGCCCCACAGACCCATCTCAGGGCACACCGCCCCCCCCCCCCGTCCCCCATGAACAGTGGGGGGTGGGGTGGGGGGATCTCAGGGACCCCCATCCCCTTGATGGGTCTCAGCGAACCCCGGGGACCCCACGAGGTGCCCCCCCCATCCCCTCTCCACCCACCCCGGGGGTCTCTCACCGCCTTGAGCTGCTCCAACCGATCCTTCATGGTGCCCCCAAGGGCTTGTGGGGTGCGGGGGGGTCCCCGTCCTCGCCCACCGCGGGGATGGGGGATGCCACCCTCAGTCCTCCCTGGCTGGCCAAGCCTCCTACATCCAGGCGAGGTGGTGGGTGGCCCTTGTCCCCTTCCCTGTCCCCAAGCCCGGGGCTGTCCCTTCACTAATCCCCAGTGACAGGCACAAGGAAGGCAGGAAGGCGCCGAGGGGAGGGACGAGGTGGAGCCACCCTTCACCTGGGACACCCCGGGGACACCGGCCCCCCGCTAAAGACAACGGTTGCAGCTGGCCCCCCCCGGCCACGCCAGGAGGTGACAGCGGCGTGGAGGCGGATGTTGCAGGGTGGCCCCGGCGCGGAGGCGATGAGGAAGCTGGTGCCCCCACGGGGGTCACGCGCACTGAGGGCGACTTGTCCTCCCTTGCCGTGGGTGGCTGGGGAGAGGGGGCAGAGCTGGGGGGGCTCAGCTGGGGAGAGGGGACATGGCTGGGGGGACATAGCTGGGAGATGGGGCTGTGGATGGGGGGTCACAGCTGGGGGGACACAGCTGGGGATAAGGGACATGGGTGGGGAGAAGGGACATGGGTGGGGTCACAGCTGGAGATAGGGGACATCGTTGGGGTTCACAGCTGGGAAATGGGGCTGTGGATGAAGGGTCACAGCTTGGGGGACACAGCTGGGGACAGGGGACATGGCTATGGGTAGGATTCACAGCTGGGGGGACATCTGGGGACAGGGGACATGGCTGGGGGGACATGGATATGGATAAGGTCATGGCTAGGGACAGGGAACATGGGTGGGGACACAGCTGGGGATAGGGGACATGATTGGGGACAGAGCTGGGAGATGGGGCTGGAGATGGGGCTGGAGATGGGGGTCACAGCTGGGGGGACACGGCTGGGGATAAGGGACATGGCTGGGGAGAGGCACATGGGTGGGGGACATGGCTATGGGTAGGGGTCACAGCTGGGGGGACATCTGGGTACAGGGGACATGACAGGGGAGAAGGGACACGGGTGGAGGGACATAGCTGGGAAGACAGGGAACAGCTGGGGACAGGGGACATGGCTGGGGACACGGCTGGGGACACAGTGATGGATACAGGTCACAGCTGGGGGGGACACAGCTGTGGATGGGGTGACAGCTGAGGGACATGGCTGTGGCTAGGGGACACATAGGTGTGAATGGGAGGGGTGCGTGTCACAGTGCGTGTCACTCTGCGCCGACGTCTGTAAGGCCGCACACGCGTCCCTAAAAAAGGAGAAATAAATAAATTTAAAAAAAAAAAAAAAAAGGGGGGGGGGTGGCGCTGCCCCTTTAAAAACAGCCTCAGGGCGGGGCGGTGCCTCCGCGGTCTATAAAGGGGCGTGGTTAGCGCGGGGGGGGGGTTACGCATGCGCGGTGGGGGCGAGTGACGTCATGCGCGTGCGCCCGCGGCGGCGCATGCGCGGCGGGGGCGCGGGGCCGGGAGCGGGGCGCGGGCGGGGGGCGCCGCCGCCGCCGCCATGTTCCGGTATCAGGTGAAGGGGGGGGGAAAGGGCTGGGGGCTGAGGGGGGGGGCCGGGCTGAGGCGGGGGGGGTGGGGGGATGGAAGGGGAGCGCCGAGCCGGGTCGGGTCCCGTTCCTCCGCCATCATCCCCCGGGAGCGCGTTTTGTGTGTGTGTGTGTGTGTAAGGGGGGGGGGGGGCGATGGTGCTGAGGGAAGAAACTGCTCCTGACCCCCCCCCGCCTCCAAATTTCCATTCCCCTTCTTCTTCCCCCCCCCCCCCCAGTCCCTGGAGGACTGCCCGCTGGATGAAGATGAAGACGCCTTCCAGGCCCTGGGGGAGGAAGATGAAGATATCGACCAGTTTAACGACGATACGTTCGGAGCTGGGGCTGTCGGTGAGCGCTTGTGAGACCCCCCCCAAAACTATACACACACACACACACACACACACACACCCTCGTTGATGCCCTCCCTGCAAGCGCGTCCCTCACCGCCGGCCCCTTGCAGATGACGACTGGCAGGAGGCCCACGAGCGGTTGGCGGAGCTGGAGGACAAACCGGTGGCGAGCGGGGAACGGGCCGGGCCTGCCGGCGAGGAGGGGGATCTGCTGGGCGAGCCCGAGGACACGCTGGCCGAGCGGCTGACCCGCCTGGTCATCGACAGCGAGCTGGAAGACCCCGCCATCATGCAAGCCGTGCAGACCACCGTCCCTGCGCAGGTAGGGGTGGGCGCAAGCCTGGCGGGACCGGCGTGGGGATGACGATCCCGTAGCCCTCTGCCCACTCCCTGTCTGTTTACCAGCAGCCCGGAGCGCTCAACTCCAGCATTTGGGATGGTTCAGCTGTCCTGCGGCGAATCCGGGGGCCGCTTCTCGCTCAGGTACGGTGCTGGGGTGTGGGTGGTGGCCGTCACGGCTTCCCCAGTGCCCCCCACTAAACCCCTGTGGCGGTGAGATGTGCTGTGGGGGGAATCTCCAGATCAGTTTGGGACAGCGGGGTGTTCTGCTCGCCTCTGGCTGCGGCTCAGCTCATTTATTAGATCCTCTTACATACAACCCCTTGGAGGCTGGAGAGCTGGGTTGGGGGGTAGATATCACTGCTACGTGGTCCCTGGTGACATCTGAGAGATGTCGACGCTTTCATCAGGGTTTGGGAATGTCGGTGCCTGGAGGCAGAGAATTTTTTTTTTATTATTTTTTTTTTCTTGTTGCGGTTTAATTAAGAGTCAGGCTTTTAAGTGCAAGTGGAGCGTGCTGCGCCGCCAGCCCTCTCCCGGCTCTGTAGGGCTGCCAATGGGTGTCTTGGTGGTGACGTGGGCTCTGCCAGGAAGACCCTGAGGATCCCCGTGACCCCCATGCCACGGTGGGGGGGCTCTAGGGAAGTGCAGTGGGTCACGGGGGAGACCTGGCAGGAGGAAAGATGTGGTTGTCCCACCCTGGTCCTCCCCATCCCAGTCTGACTCTTATCCCGGGGGGGGAGCTTTCTCCCCTCTTCCACTTGCAGGAGATGCCATCAGTGTCCGTGCTGGACTACGCTCTGCCTCAGAGACCCCCCCAGGCTCGAGAGGAAGAGCGAGACCCCTCTGAACGGGCGCTGCCTCGCCGTTCGTCATCCCCCGTCATCGGGAGCCCCCCTGTCCGGGCTGTCCCCATCGGCACCCCTCCCAAACAGGCTGCCCTCCCCAATTTCAACCAGCAGGTACCTCCCCTGGCTTCCCCAGCCCCGCTCACAGCTCGGTCCCCTGAGAGCTGACGGAGGGGGGTGACTGTACCCCTTTTCCCTCCTCCTAGATCCTATGTCCGAAGCCTGTCCACATCCGAGCTACCATGCAGCAGCGCTACCCCACTCCCTATGGCGAGAGGATGTCCCCCAACCAGCTCTGCAACGTACCGGTACCCAGTTCCCTCCTCACCCCTCCTTGTTGGCGCTGCCTTGGAGCCCCCACTGTTGCTGGGAGGCCTCAGAATCACACCCCCACCCCCGACACCCTGTTTTCCTCTTCCCACCTGTAACTCCAGGCTTGACCTGGCTCCCAGCCTTCCTGGCACTTCCTCTTGCACCATCACCCGCTCCCCACCTCACCCACCCATCAGCTGGGGCAGGGCTGTGACCGTGGTCCCTTTTCCCTTCTTTTTTTTTCCCCAGAATTCCTCCCTCCTGGGACACCCGTTCCCCCACAGTGTCTCTCCCGTTCTCACCCACCTACAGAGAGCTCAGCTGCTCGGAGGAGCCCAGGTAAAGCCCCCGTCACTCCCTTCCTGCACTTCCCTGGCCCTCCCCGTGGTCAGGGTCCCACATTTCTCTTTGCATGGCTGTGGGAGCTGGCTCCATGTCACTTTTTCTGGCCAGGCCTTTTACCCCCAAATCCCAGCCGCCCCAGCTGACTCTGGGCACCCTCTCTGCTCTGCCAGGCCGGCCGAATGTCCCCCAGCCAGTTTGCCCGGGTTTCTGGCCTGGTTGGGAGCCCCCTCCCCTCTGTCAATCCGAAGCTGCTCCAGGGCAGAGTCGGGCAGATGATGTCTCCGGCCAGCGGGTTTCGTGCCTTCTTTGGGGCTCCCCCTGCTCCACCTCCCTCGCAGCCACAGCACCCACCGGGCCCTGGATCCCACCTGCAGAGCCTGAGGTAGGTGCCACCCTTCTCCCAACCTCCTGCTTGCTCCTTGCAGCCACCTCTTGAGATTTTTTCCCCTTTTTTTTTTTTCTTTTTTTTTTTCTTTTTTTTTTTTTCTTTTTTTGTTCCCCCCCTTGTTGTCCCCAGGCCGCAGCCTCAAATGTTCCGACCGGACACGACCCACCTACACCCCCAGCACCGCCGGCTCCTGCACCAGCGCCAGCAGCAGAACCGAAAGTGAGTGCTGGCCCCGTGCTGGTGCTGGGAGAGGGGCTGCCTGGCGCAATAAAGGGGGGGGTGGGTTGCATCGCCCCTCCGCTGCAGGGGGGGTTGTGCTGCTGGGGCTAGCCTGTGCACCGCTCTCTGTCCCTTCCTGTAGCTCCTGTGCGCTCACGGGTGCCCTTCTTGCCTCCTGCCAGCCAGCACCGGAGCCTCAATGGCTCGGTGGGGGATCGAGGGGGCCACCGGAGCAGCCACCAGGAGCAGATACGCAAAGATCCCTACGCCAACCTCATGCTGCAGCGGGAAAAGGACTGGGTGTCCAAGATCCAGATGATGCAGCTGCAGAGCACTGATCCTTACTTGGATGACTATTACTACCAGGTACTAGGGAGTGGAGGGCGGGGGGCGAAGCACCCAACCTGCTCCCTTGTGTGTCCCGTGGCTGTTCCCACGGGACCGGTGTCTTCCTGATGCAGTCTTGGTGCTGAAGGGGATGCTGGTATGAGAGCTGTGGGGAAATACGCTGGAGGAGGAAGGCAGAGGGATGGGGTGGGGTGTGAGCACCCCCAGGAAGGGAAAGGGGGGGCAACGGCAAGGGAAAAACTGCCTTTCTGTTCTTGGGTGAGATCTCCAGGGGTGAGGAGGTGTTGGGGGATGCTGGCAGGTAACAGGAGAGCAGCTCTTCTACATCAGAAGCTGCAGTGGCAGAATAAACAACTGGAACAGGAGATGGGGAAGCTGCTAAATGGAAAATGAGAGAGGAGAGAGCCCTGGGCAAAGGAATGACTGCATAAGGAGGACGGGGCGGTGGTGAAGCCCGTGGGGTTCAAAGAGCGAGGTGGCTTTGGGGAGAGTGCTCCTGCTTCTTTCCAGTTCAAGAATAGGGACTGTCACACCAGGCTCGTAAGAGCCAGATTTGGAGCAGACAAAGCAAGGTGACGGCTGAGCTCTTGCCGATGGTGGTAGATGCTCAAAGCTCAACGGGGTTTTGAAGGTACCCAAGGCAACTTCACATGAGGGAGATCTGCGGAGGGCTTCAGGCTATGTAGGGTGGTCGTTTGGCTTGGAAAATTGCACGGGGCTTGCGAGGTGGCCAGGAGTGTATCTGGGGCAGTCGTCAGCTGTGCAGGAGGTCTGGCCCCCATCTTCACGAAGGATGGGCGGACAAGTAAGCCGTACACCCAGAAAGATCCCGGAGCATTCGGTGCAGCCGTGAGCATGGGGCAGAGCAGGGAGGGCAAGTCCCCAGCGTGGTGAAATGGGGCAGAGCAGTCCGGTCCCCTCCGCTGTGGGAGCATGGGACAAGCCACTCGCTGTGGGTTGTCTGGGCTCCGGTGGGAGCTGGCAGAACTGTGGCCAACGGGATCAGTCTGCTCCGGGGCTGAAAGGTTTTTTTTTTTCTGAGCTGTGGGTGAGCTGATCCCCAGTAGAGGAGAGAGGAACTGGTGCAGCCACAGCCGGGATGTGAGTCAACAAAAGCTCTGCCGTTGCGAAAGAGGTGAACGTTGGCCAGGGTGGACGGGAAGAGCTGCGTGAGCACTGGTGTGAGAGGCCCCAGCCGTGCGCTGCCCAGCCTGGGCACGGTGCTAACAGAGCAAGGCAGGCTAACTGGAGTTTACTGGGAAGGACTGGGAGCTGGGGACCTCCCAGGGAGAGCGAACTCATCGTTGTGTTGAGAAAGAAAGGGCTGAGGAGGAACCTTGACCTCTGTAATCTTGAGGGATGATAGAGAGGAGAACGCAATCGTCCACTTGTGAGATGGGGGAAGAAGAGTGGTTTAAAATGCTGCTGCTGACTTTGGGAACACCAGTGAGGGATGGAGCACGGGCTGGGGTGAGGGATGTGTTGCGTCACTCCTTGCCAGCTGTTTTTCAGGGAGTGAGTCTCAGCCTTTCCTCTCCTTGCCTCAGAATTACTTCCAGAAGCTGGAGAAGTTAGCAGCGGCGGAGGAAGTCCATGGTGACGGTCCTAAAAAGGAACGCACTAAACTCATCACACCTCAGGTGGCTAAGCTGGAGCACACCTACAAGCCGGGTAAGCGCTCCTTTCTCAGCGCAGCCTGGAGCTCTGCAGGTGAAGGGTGGTTGGTGGCTTATTTGGGGCTGGGACAGGGGGTCTCACCGGTGCCGGTTGGAGTTCGGAGGTAGACACGGGGCTACTGTTATCTGGCCAGAGATAAAGGCAGGTGAGGTGGGGTTCGCCCCTGGACTTGACTCCCTTTGCTTCCCTCCTTCTTGCAGTGCAGTTTGAGGGCTCGCTGGGGAAGCTGACGGTCTCCAGCGTCAACAACCCCCGGAAGATGATCGACGCGGTGGTGACCTCCCGCAGCGAGGATGATGTGAGTTCTGGCCCTGCCTCCCCTCAAACACAGCTCAGTGCCTCGGCCCTCGGGGCCAGCGCCGGAGCCGACCACCGCCCTGACTCCGCTCCCCTTCCTTGGCAGGAGACAAAAGAGAAGCAGGTTCGAGACAAGAGGCGCCAGACCCTTGTCACGATCGAGAAGGTGAGTTCGAGGCAGGACCGCCGCGACCCCCTCGGCGATCTGCGAGGGGGGCACGGGGTGAGCTGGGGCTGGGCAGCTCCTGGATCTCTGTGGAGCGGGACTGGGGGATCCCACCGCAGATCCCCGTGTCCTGAGGTGATGGCCGTCTGTCCTGCAGACGTACAGCCTCCTCCTGGACGTGGAGGACTATGAAAGACGCTACCTCCTCAGCCTGGAAGGCGAGCGGCCGGCCCTGATGGGCGAGAGGAAGCAGAAGATCTGCGACATGTATGACAATCTGAGGGGGAAAGCGCCCGGGCAGGAGAGGTGAGCAGAGGTGGTGATGTCTGCAACTGCGGGAGCTCGGAGAGTCCGTGGTCACTTGTAGCTACTGCAACTGGCCTTCCAAGACCCTGTGTCCCAAAGACAAGTCAGGCAGATTCTTCCAGGGATGTGTTAGGAACTGGAGGCTGAAATAAGCTTCACCGCCCACTGCCCCCCCCCCTTTTTTTTTTTTTCCTCCAATTTTCCCCAGGTGATTGTTCGTGATCTTTTAACACCTTCCATCCCTGCAGCTCGGGTGCTGCGAATAGCGCCCATCTCCATGCTCGTTGGGTGTCTGTCCATCCTGAGCTCTGCGCCCTGGCACATCTCGGGCTGCCTGCTTTTTAAATCTGTTGCCTCTTGCCTGACCTGTAGCCTCAGCAGCCCAGATGGGCGAGGAAGGACACAGCAGCTCCTTCAGTGCTGCCCCATGAGGAACTGAGCCTTGTCCCCCTGCCCAGCCCATCAGGCAGGGATTTGGGTTAGGGGTGTTGTTTCTGCGTTATTTTTCCCTCCTTGGGGATGTTTTTTTGAGGCGGGCGTGTTTTTTGCTGGCTGTGGGGTACACCCTGGGAACACTCCGCTTGCCCCAGGATGCTCCCAGATGAGGGTCCAGCACCTTTCTCCTCTCCTCGACAGGCCGAGCGACGATCACTTCATGCAGATCATGTGCATCCGAAAAGGGAAGCGCCTCGTGGCCCGGATCCTCCCCTTCTTGTCACCCGAGCAAGCGGCTGATGTCCTGATGGCAACGGCCAGGAACCTGCCCTTCCTCATCAAGAAGGATGCTCAGGACGAGGTGAGTTTCCAGGGGTTGGGAGGGTTCCCCCTCGCTGGTTTGGAGCCAGACGTCTTCTCCTCCACAGAGAAAACCAGCAAACAGCATCGTGTGTCTTAAGGACGGTTGTTTCTGCCTCTCCTGGGAGACTTCCAGGGGTCTGGGGAGGCTGCAGGAGCCCTGAGCTCCTGGCAGGGCCCGTCTGCCATGCAGCCTGGCTTCGCTGGGAATGGTTTCTGATAAATGATGCCATTATTTAACGAGCCCCGCTCTTGCCTGAGCACTTGTCTAAAGGGTTGTGTTTCCTGACTCATCGGGTGACAGCGGGAGACTCCATCTTCAGAGACAGAGAGCGAGAGGCCAGCGTCTCCTCCAGCTCTCATCTGGCCTTTACAATCTTTTTTTTTTTTTTAATAGAGGGAACAAAAATACAGGCATCTGTGACATAAATCCGAGATTGTTTGGAGAAAGAGGAGGACTTAAGGGAAAAAAAAAAAAAAAAAAAAAAGACTTGCCTGAATTTAAAGCGGGGTTGTGGGAGGATGCTGTTAGCAAGTCCCACGCTGAGCATGTGAGGGGGGGCTGGAACCAGAGGCACTGCTGGGGAAGAGGGTGGGGGTGTAAGCAGCAAGGTGGCATCTTCTCGGGGTTCAGGTGACCCCGGGGGAAGCTGGTGTCACAGTTCTGCTCCTCTTTTCAGGTGCTGCCCTGCCTGTTGAGGCCCTTCTCTCACGTTCTCTACCACCTTCCCTTGGGGACAGTCACCAGCCTTGTGCAGCAGCTAACGAACCTACCTCAGAGCGTGACTGCGCCAGTGCCCACCAACCTGCACCTCACTGCTGTGCTCCAAAACAAGGTGCTCCCCTCCTCTCCCTTGTCCTGCTCCCCAGGGTGGGGGGCCATCTCATTCCTCCTGCTCCGGCAGGTCTTGATGTCTCCCCGTAACTGGGGAAACGGGAGGTTTTTTCCACTCCCTTTGCGGTTTCCCGGTGCTGGATGGCAGAGCCGCGGTGTGGGAACGGCACAGGAGGCCACGGGCTGCTGGTCCCTGGTGCTCTCTCCCTGCCCTGCTTCCCTTGCTAATTAATGAGGGTGTCTAGCAGATTAATTAATTAGCTATTTGAGCCAGCCTGCTACTCAGCTGCAGTCTGACAGCTGGGTTGTCTTGCTGGGCTGCAAACTCCTGCCCTGAAATCCAGGGGTTCATGCAGTGGTTTGTCACTCGCATATCCCCAACACCTGCCTGTGACTCGGGCCCGTAACCATCCTCCTCTTCCTCATCCTCTCGCTTGTGCCACCAGCCCCAGGAGGAGTGGGAGGTGGAGGTGATTCTGACATCTACCCAAAAAAAAAATAACTCTGCGGGGAGGAACGGTGGGAGGAAAGCTCACCCTGCCCTGCCTGTTCCGTGCCCCCGAGATTTCCTCGTGTGGTGGAGGACAATCGGCACAGGTGGGACAACTCCCTGACCGCCCCCCCCCTCCCTTTTTCTCTCCTCCCTGCAGTTTGGCCTGTCCCTGCTCTACCTGATCTTGAGCCGGGGGGAGGAACTGCAGAGCTCGGACACGAACACGGAGCTAATGCAGGACAACCAGTGGTGAGCCGCCTGCCCTCAGGCCTTGGGGGGTGGGGGGGGACAACACAGCACCGGGGTGTCCCCAAAGGATTTTGGGGGAGGTGAGGGGGTGGGGGGAGAGTTGGTGAAGGTCCTGCACGAGTCCCTGGGTGGGAAGGAGGTGGCCAGACCCCACGGAGCAACCAGGACCTCGTGGCAAGGCTGGTGGATCCTTCCCCGGTGCCGGGGTTTGGCGCCATAGTACCTCCTCCTGCCCAAAATGTCCCCAAATTTCCTCCTTTCTCCTCACGGCTTCTCTCGGGCAGGACGGAGCTGATGCTCATGGCGACCCGGGAGCTCCTGCGGATCCCTCAGGCAGCCTTGGCCAAGCCCGTGTCCACCCCCTCCAACCTGATCTCCCTTTTCTCTCGCTACGTCGACCAGCAGAAGCTCAACCTGTTGGAGACGAAATTGCAGTAAGTGGGGCCGTGGCCTACCGGGGGGGTTTGGGGGTTGTCACTTCATCCCCCCCCAGCTCCTCTGACCACTCTCCCCACTGTTTTTTGTGGTTTTTTTTTTTTTTTTTTTTTTTGTTTTGTTTTGTTTGGGTTTTTTTTTGGGTTTTTTTTTGTGTGTGTTTTTGGTTTGGTTGTTTTTTTTTTTTTTTTTTTCTTCCCCTGGTACCAGCTTAGTGCACGGAATCCGATAAATCTCTGTGGTTCCTCGTCACCAGAATGTTCCAGAGGATGGACGGATGGATGGATGGAGGGCAGGCAGTTCCACCACCCCCCCCACCCCCCCCAAGACACACAACCTCCCTCCCCAAACCACCCCACCACCCTGCCTGGCACATCGCTGCAGGAGGCACACCTCCCCCTCCACCCCAAAATTCTGGCTGGGGGGGGGGTGGGGTCAGGGAAGGTTGGGGGGGGGGTATAGCTGCTCCCCACCCTCCCCCCAAAAAGTGCTGCCCCCCAGTTCCGCGCCCCCCCCCCCCCCCCAATGGCTGCTGCTTTTCCCCACACGCACACTACGGGAAAAGTGGGGGGGCTGTAGGGCTGGGTGCCCTCTCCCCCCTCCCTTTTCCCCAGGGCCCCCCCCAACACACACCCCCAGAGCACTGAGGTCTGGTCCCTGCCCTTCCCCGGCCGCACACACGCACGCACACGCGTGCTCACACGCATGTGCACACACACACACACCTCTCTTTTGCACACTTGCCTTGTCTTCCCCAGCGTTGGCTCCTTCCCTCGGCCTCATATGCCCCCCCAATCCCGGGGGGGGGAGGGGGGGGCGGGTTTTGCTCCTTGGGAATGGAGGGGGGGGGAAGGTTAATTTTACTTTATTGTTTTGGTTTGCTTTTAAACAAACAAACAAACGAGAGAAGAAAAAAAAAAAAAAAAAAAAAACAACGAAGAGATTTGCACATGTAGGTATTTTACAACCAGTAACTCCTCCCTGGCATTAACCAGCTCCCCTCAGCTGCTTCCCAGCCCCCCCTGCCCTCTCCCCCCTCATTTTCCTCCTGACTGATCAAGTGGAAAGTTCATTTCTTATTTTATTTTTTTTTTCTTTGTGCTTCCCCTTCCCCCCCACTTTTTGGTTCTGGTTAATGAGAATAAAGTTTCTAAATTTACATTTTTATAGGGTATTGTAAATAAAGATGAATTGTATACTGCTGTCCGTGTGGCCTCTCCTTCTCTGAAGGGGGGCAGGGATCAGGTATACCCCCCCCCACCTTACCTCTGGGGCTCCCCCTTCCACACACCCCCCCTTATCCCAGAGGCCCCCTAGACACACCCCCAGCCCCCCCTTGCCTCAGGCCCCACCCCCCCCAGACACCCCCTTACCGCTCCCCCACCCCATCCCGGCTGTTACACCCGGTAACAGCCGGTTCCCTGAGGGGATGGGGGGGCAGGGCCGGCCCCCCACCCCCCGTCGCACCCATGGGTGCGGCCCTCGGCACCACCCACCCCCTGGGCAAAGGTCAGAGGTCGCTGCCCCTTCCCCCAGCGGTGTCTCGGCCAATGGCGGCGCGAGTAGCGGGAGGACCCGCACCCCGCGGCCAATCGGTGGCGGGATGAGTCACCGCTCCGCCGCGCGGCCCCGCCCCCAGGCAACCGTCACGCGCGGCACCCCCCTCCTCCGCTCATTGGCTTGCCGCGGAGACAGACGGCAGGGAGGACCAGTGAAAACGTCGGAAGGGGCTGGGAAGGGGAAACGCACCGCCCACCGGCCTGCGGCGCAAGCGCGCCGTCAGCCAATAGGCACGCAGGCACCGCCCCGCGCGAGCGGTGGCACCAATCCGCCCGCCGGGGGCGTTGCGCGCAGGGGCTGCCTCCGCCAATGGGATGCGTCCGGGGGCGGGGCCGAGTGACGGCAGCGCGGCGGGAGGGGCGGGGCGGGGAAGGAAGGCGGCGGCGGCGGCGATGGCGGAGCTGCGAGCGGCGGCCGCGGGCCCCGGCCCGGTGGCGGCGGCGGCGCTGCCCGGTCCCATGGCCCTGCCCGCGGCCCCCGCTCTGCCCTCACCGGCGGCGGCGGCTCCGAGCGCGGCGGCGGCGGCGGTTCCGACTCCGAGCGCGGCGGCGGGCGCTGGTTCCGGTGGTTCCGGTTCGGGCGGTGCCGGTGCCGGTTCGGCGCGCGAAGGTTGGCTCTTCAAATGGACCAACTACATCAAGGGCTACCAGCGCCGCTGGTTCGTGCTCAGCAACGGCCTCCTCAGCTACTACCGGTACGTACCGGGAACCGCGACCCGGTCCCCTTCCCCCCCCCCCCCCCCGCCCCCCCACGTTACCGTATTCCCGGGCCTGAGTCCGCGATGGGGCTGTCGCTGTGGATTTCTCCCCCCCTCACCCTCCCCGCCGCTGCCTCCCAAATCGCTGAGGCCTCTCTGTCGCTCTCCGGTGGCGAGCCACGCTGGTATTTCGGCTGGGACCGGCGCCGTTACCGATCCCCCCTCCCCTCTCGGACACCTGAGCCTTGCCCGGGGGCGCGGCGCGGGGGGGGGGGGGCCCTGTCCTCCATTATTCATGGGGGAACCGGAGCCTGGAGGCAGCTGCCAGCTCCAGTTACAGCCCAGCGGGTGTGTGCTGGTGCTGGTGGGAGGGGGGGGAGGCACCGGTCCCCCCGGGCCATGCGGGGGGGGGGGATGTCCCGGTGCCCCCCCCCCCAGCCCCGGTGACGTGGAAGGGGTGTGCCTTGCACTGGCATGGGGGGGAAACACACGCTTCACGTCCCTCCCAATTTTTGCTGGGTACCGGAGGCACCGAGGGCGAGCGTGGTGGTCCCTGAAGCTGCTTTTGGAAGGGGGGGCTGCAGACCCCTCCAGGCATTTCCCCCCCCCCCCCAAAAAAACAGTGTCCCCAGGCTTGGCCCTTGTTCCAGTGCTGGCAAAACCACTGTGGGTTGGAGCCAGCACCCTATTAATAGCCCTGCTCATAGGGTGGGGAATGCCTGCCCCCCCCTCCCGCCCCTAAATGTTTTTAGGTCGGGCTATGGAGCGTCTCCTTCTCCTGTTCCCCCTCCCCGCTCAGATCCAAGGCGGAGATGCGGCATACCTGCCGCGGCACCATCAACCTGGCCACGGCCAACATCACGGTGGAGGATTCCTGCAACTTTATCATCTCCAACGGCGGGGCCCAGACTTACCACCTGAAAGCCAGCTCGGAGGTGGAACGACAACGCTGGGTCACCGCCCTGGAGCTGGCCAAGGCTAAAGCCGTCAAAATGCTGGAGGAATCGGGTACGCCCCTGGCCGACGCCTTCCCCCAACCCCCCCTCCAACACCCAGCACCTCGCTTAACCCCCCTGCGACACCCACGGGGATCCCCAGGGGTTGTTTTATCCCCCCTGCAGGACGTGACCCTGCGTTCCCTCCCTTTTCCCAAGCTCCCCCCTTTTTCCCCGAAAAACCCGCTTTGCCTCATCCATCTCCTGCGCCCGGCTGGAGTCGCAGCATGTGGGTTTTGGGGTGTGGGGAGCTGCTCCATGAGTAGGATTTGGATGAGGTGGCTTCCCCGCTGCCTGACTCCGGCTTGAGGAGCCGCCGGCAAACCTGGCACACGCTTCCTGGCTGGCATGACTGCTTGTGCGCCAAGAGATCGGCCATCTGCTCCGAGCTGCTGTGGCGGTGGCCGGGGGCACCCTGGGGGTGGCTCCGAGCCCTCAGGGGGGTTTTTTGGGGACACACGCACACATCCTGCAGTGCCCATCCTGGCAGCCCCCTCGCTGTCAGAGCCTGGTGTGGCTTGGCCGGTGCTCCCAGTGCACAGCTTCTTTTTCTTCCCCATCTCCTGGGAGGAAATAAAAGCCTCACCCCCCTGGGGATCACTCTAACGTCCCTTCCCGCCGACAGACGACTCCGGCGACGAGTCGGTGTCGCAGACGGACAAAACGGAACTGCAGAACACGCTGCGCACCCTGTCCAGCAAAGTAGAGGATCTGAGCACCTGCAACGATCTCATCGCCAAACACGGCACGGCCCTGCAACGCTCCCTCAGCGAGCTGGAGACCCTCCGGCTGCCGGCCGAGAGCACCGAGAAGATCAAGCAGGTGAACGAACGAGCCACCCTCTTCCGCATCACCTCCAACGCCATGATTAATGTGAGTTACACCCTCCCTGTGCCTGACCCCCCACCACCACCTGCAGACCCTGCACTGACGAGGCTGGGGGGGCACATCGTTTCCGCCCAGGCCTGCCGGGATTTTTTGATGCTGGCTCAGACCCACGGCAAAAAATGGCAGAAATCGCTGCAGCACGAACGGGATCAGCGCATCCGGCTGGAGGAGACGCTGGAACAACTGGCCAAACAACACAATCACCTGGAAAGGGCTTTCCGCGGCGCGACCGTCCTGCCCGCCGGCACAGCTGGCACCGGCGGCTCTGCCAAAGGTACCCACCCCCCCCGGGGGGGGTCACCCAGAGCCCCCATGCTGAGGAAGGGGGTCAGTTCAGCAGAGACGGAGCGGGGTGGGATGGGGGAAACCACCAGCAGCTTCCAGTCCCTTCCATGAGCTGCTGAGCTGGGTGATGGGGGTGCACGGTCTCTCCCCTCCACCGCTGAGTGGCTGCAGCACCTTCCCCCCCCCCGCCTCCCCTCCTGTCCCTTCCCCAGATCCGTGCTGTCCTGCGAAAGGAGACCTGAGTGACGAGGACGATGACAACGAGTTTTTCGACGCCCCGGAGATCATCACCATGCCAGAGAGCATGGGGCACAAGTGAGCTCTGGGGTGGGGGGGGTTACCCTCTCACCCCCCCCCGATTTGGGACTGATTCTGCCCCTCTCCTTCCTCCCCCCCCACCCCCACTAAGGCGCACTGGCAGCAACATCAGCGGCACCAGCAGCGACATCAGCCTGGATGAGCAGGTAGAACTGGGAGGGCTCTTGGAGGAACAGGGCTGAGCTGGGGGTTCCCCAGTTTCCCCGGGGGGGGGGGTGGGAGGGCATGTCACAGCCACCTTTTTCTTGTCCCCAGTACAAGCACCAAGTAGAGGACACCAAGAAGGAGAAAAGAACCCGCATCCCCTACAAACCCAACTACAGCCTCAACCTCTGGAGCATCATGAAAAATTGCATCGGGAAGGAATTGTCCAAGATCCCCATGCCGGTGAGCGGGGGTGCGGCTGGCAGGGAGGGGGGGAGGTTTGTGGGGTACCCCAGGAACCCCCTGCCCCCTCTTACTTCTGCCTCCCTCCCAGGTGAACTTCAACGAGCCCCTGTCGATGCTGCAGCGCTTGACGGAGGACCTGGAATACCACGAGCTGCTCGACCGGGCAGCCAAATGCGAGAGTTCGCTGGAGCAGCTCTGCTACGTGGCCGCCTTCACCGTCTCATCCTACTCCACCACCGTCTTCCGCACCAGCAAACCCTTCAACCCCCTCCTGGGGGAAACTTTTGAGCTGGATCGCTTGGAGGAGAATGGTTACCGTTCCCTCTGCGAGCAGGTACCAACCCGCCTCCCCCGAGCCCACTGGGCCAGCTCAGGGTGGGGGGTGGCCAGTGCTGACCCGTCCCCTCTCCCGGCCAGGTGAGCCACCACCCGCCAGCCGCTGCCCACCACGCAGACTCCAAGCACGGCTGGACACTTCGCCAAGAAATCAAAATCACCAGCAAATTTCGAGGCAAATACCTCTCCATCATGCCTCTGGGTGAGCTCCGCGGCCCCGGGGAGGGTTGGTGTCTGCGTTGCGTGTGGGAGTGGGCCAGGTTTGGAGACCCACGCGAGGTTCCGTGGGCTGGGCTGGCGCCGGGGGACGGTTCCTGGCACAATCTTCCCTCCTCAGGTACCATCCACTGCGTCTTCCACTCTTCGGGCAACCACTACACGTGGAAAAAAGTCACCACCACCGTGCACAACATCATTGTGGGGAAGCTCTGGATAGACCAGGTGGGGTGAAACTCCAGTGATGGGGCTCCACGGGAGCTTTGTGCAAGTCCTGGAGGTGTGGATATCCTCCCCCGTGCCTCAGTTTCCCCTGTCACAGGGGAAAGGGCTGTGGGATGGATCTGACTGTCTCCTCCCCACCCGCAGTCGGGTGAAATCGAGATCGTCAATCACAAGACGGGTGACAAGTGCAACCTCAAGTTCGTTCCTTACAGCTACTTCTCGCGGGACGTGGCGAGGAAGGTGAGGGCGCGGGGGCGGCGCGCGCCGGCACCGGGGTGCGTGTGACTCCTGAGTGTCCCGATTCAGGCTGTCCCCTGTCCCCACAGGTCACCGGGGAGGTGACAGACCCCGCGGGGAAGGTGCATTTTGTCCTGCTGGGCACTTGGGATGAGAAGATGGACTGCTACAAGGTGACGCTGGGCACCGGCGACAACGGAGCGGAGGGACGGCAGCGAGCCCACGAGGCTGAGGACAGCCGGGTGCTGCTGTGGAAGAGAAACCCACTCCCGTGAGTGGGGCGAGGGGGGTGTGGGACACACGGGGCTGAGCGGGGCTAGGAGTGGAAAGGGTTTAAGCTCGGTCCTTTTCCTCGACCTAGGAAGTACGCGGAGAACATGTATTACTTTTCGGAGCTGGCGCTGACCCTAAACGCCCCGGAGAACGGCACGGCGCCCACCGACAGCCGCCGGCGCCCCGACCAGCGCCTGATGGAGAACGGCCGCTGGGACGAGGCCAACGCCGAGAAACAGCGGCTGGAGGAAAAGCAACGCCTCTCCCGCAAAAGACGCGAAGCCGAAGCCGCCCGGGCCACCGAGGACGGTAAGGAAAGGGACAAAAGAGGTTTGTGTCCCCCCCTCTCCCTGCCTGGTCACTGAGACCCTCACACACCCCCCCCTGCCAGGGACCCCCTACGACCCCTACAAACCGCTGTGGTTCGAGCGCAAGAAGGACCCCGTCACCCAGGAGCTGGCGCACGTCTACAAGGGCGGCTACTGGGAGAGCAAAGAGAAGCAGGACTGGACCTTGTGCCCGGATATTTTCTGAACTGGGAATGGGGGGGGGGGGGGGGGGGGAGAGGGTGGGGTTTGGGGTTTGGGGAGGGGGTGGGGGGGGCAAAGGACCAGCTGGCTGCCAGGGGAGAGCCGCTGCCCCGGCCACTGTCTGTCTGTCTTAAGCGCCCGTCTGTGTGTCGTGTCCCCCCCCTCCCACCTCGCCGTCAGCACGCGCCGGGGTTTGCCTTAACCTTGATGTGGGGGGGGGCGGGGAGAGTGGGAGCCATCATGGAACTCCCCCCACACACACACCCCCCCCACTTCAGGGCACTGGGGGGGCTTCCCTTTCATCCCGGCTCCCCCTCCCCTCCTCCTCCAGGGAGGGCAGGGAGCTGGGCGGGGGGGGCGCAGTGGGGCGAGCCCGAGGCTGGCCTTGGTCTCTTCCCCCCCTCCCCTTTTTTCATTTCCCCCTCCCCAGGCGGTGGGGTGCGAGGGGGGGAGGGGGTAGACTGTGCCCCCCCCAGCCTGTTCTATAGGTGTATATTATATATATATATGTAGAGAGTGACCCAGGGCCCCCTTCCCCCCCCTCCCCATGTCCCTGGGCTGGGGGGGCCCCCCCTGAGGTGCCTTCCCCAGAGGTTGTTTAGGGCAGGGGGAGGTCCTGGGTTTTGGGGCTGGGGGTGAGGGTGGGGGTGTCTCTCCCATTCATCTCCAGGGAGCAGCAGACCCCTGCACCCCCAAACACTACACGGGCTGGGAGATCCGCTGAGGGGGAGGATGCTGTGGGGGTCTCTGCACCCCCAAACCTGAAAAGTTGGGGGCATATGATGCCTTTTTTTTTTTTTTTTTTTTTTTTTTTTTTTTTTTTTTTTCCCATTAGGAAAACAACTAAATTAAAAATCTGTGAATGCCCCAGCCCGGCTCTGCCTGCTCTGTGGAGGATGGGGGGAGGGGGGGGGGGTGTGTTTGCTGATTTTGAGGGACCCCTCCCAGCTTCTGCAACCCTGGGGGGGGGAAGCTGAGAGGAGCACCCCCTTCCTGCAGGGATCCTGCACCCCAAAACATTGAGGGGGGGGGGAGAAAATTGAGGTTTGACTGGGTGCCCCCACTCCCCAGCCTTCCTCCTCCTTGATATGCCCCCCCCTCCTTCTCTTACCAGGGGTTCCCTAGGTGCCCCACCACCACCACCCTGGGGACACTGCTCCTTGTCCCCCCTCATCCCCATCCTTGGGGGTGGGCACCAGCAGGATGCTCCATGTGTGTTGTGTCCCCCACCGCCCCCCACCCCCCCCCCGATCATCTGTGTGCCACTCAGACCCTCGGGGGTGACCTGGGGGTCCTTGGGCCACTTGTTTGTGTGTGTCTCGTGTGTGTGTGTGTGTGTGTGTGTGTGTGTGTGTGTGTGTGTGTCCCCTCAAGAAAAAGGAGCCACAGGGCCACTTGTCCACAGGGACTTAACTCCAAGGGGTGACATACATACCCCCCCGCCCCAAATTTTTTGGGGCTGACCCCACAGCCCTCACGGCTTATTTTCGCCCCCCCCCTAGCCTGGCCCTTAGGGATCTGTCCTGCAGGTCCCCATGTCCTGTGTGTCCCGTCCTTTCCCCGCACCCCCCCGCCCCCCCCCCCCCCAAGACCTGGCCCGCGCGGGACTCGAACCCGCGATCTTTGACTGACCCCTGTGCCGAAGCCTCCGCCTCACCGCTGGCCGGCTCCATGGTGTAGGGGTGATCACGTCTGCTTTACACGCAGAAGGTCCTGGGTTCGAGCCCCAGTGGAGCCACACACCCCCCACCACCCCCGACGTGACATTTTTGGGTGGGGGGCTACACACATGGACCGCTCCCCATGGCCCCCCCCCCCCCCCCCCCCCCCATCCCCTTTTTTTTCCCCAGGGCGTGTCCCCAGCCGGGACACGGGGGTCGTCCAGCCGAGGGGGGTGGGTTCCTGGAGGGGGTGACATGGTGACACGTGGGGTGGGGGGGAGCAAGGCGTGGCCGTAGCCCCTCTCCCCCCGCCAAGCCTGGCACATGGACCACCCCTCCCGCGTGCTGATTGGTCATCTAGCGCAGGAGGCGTGTGCTTATTGGCCGGCGCGGTTCCCTCTGCTGATTGGTTGATCCCGCGGCCTTTCTCACGCTGATTGGCCGGTTCGTTTGGGCCAAGAACCGGCCCAACCGTTGGTTCATGGGACGTGTGCTGATTGGCCGGCTGGCGGCAGTAAACCAGCTCATCCAGCCAATGGCAGAGCGCGGGTTGGCTCCGGGTGACCCCTGGAGCTCTGCCCGCGCCCCCCCCCGCCCCCCAACACCCCCCGGCGCCCCCCCCGGCCGCTCTGTGGGTGCCGTGGCCGAGCACACCCCGTGGAGGGGCAGCCGCTGTCCCTGTCCCCCCCGTGGAACACCGTTCCCCCCCCCCTCGCTCCCCACAGCGACCTCCTGGGGGGTGGCTCGGGGAGGGGGCGGGGACGACGGGACGGGTCACAGACGCCCCCACCCCACGTCCCCTCCCAACGATGAACACTCACCTCCCGCTCCGATCAAGGGGGTTTATTTGGTCTCCCCAGCGCCTCCCCCCCCCCCCCCCCCAGCTCTGCCACCGCCCCTGGGGGCTGTTGGGGTCGGGGATCTCACGTCTGCCCCCCGATCCCAGATACAGGCTCAGCTCCAGCTGTTCACTCTGAACCCTAATGCTGGCAGCAAGGTTGGGCTGGTCGGACAGGCAGGGGAGCTCCTGCCAAGGATCCAGGGGGGTGGGGGAGTGGGAAAAGGGGGTGCAGCGGGGGGCCCCCTCCTGCCTCAAGGCTTCATTACCGGGTTGAGAGCATCATAACGAACTCTGCGGGGAGAGAGAGGAGGGTGTGAGGGGACCCACAGCTGAGCCACGCTTCACAGCCCACATGCTGTGGGGCGGGGAAGGGGGCTGCAAGGGAAGTTTGGGGGGGGGGGGGGTGTTTGTCCCTCACCGTCAAAGTCCACATGCCCGTCCCCGTTGAGGTCCACGTCCTGCAGGATCTCGTCCACCTCCTGCGCCTTCAGCTGCTCCCCCAGCAGCGCCGCGATGGCCTCCCGCATCTCCGCGCTGCTGATCTCCCCGTCCCCATTCACGTCGAACTGCGGCGCCCACAGGTTGGGGGTCACCCCCCCACACACACCACCTCTAGGGCCATGCTCACCCCCTGGTCTTCTTGTGGTCACCAGCCCCTCCATGCCCGTGGTCACCATGCCCATGGTCACCCCATGGTCCTCTCGTGGTCATCAGTCCCTCTATGCCTGTGGTCACCCCCCATGGTCACCATCCCTCCATGGTCATGGTCACCCCATGGTCTTCCCATGGTCATTGGTCCCTCTATGCCTGTGGTCACCCCATGGTCACTGTTCCCCCAAGATCCTTGTCTCCCCATGGTTTTTGTCCCCTCCATGCCAGTGGTCACACCCATAGTCACCATCCCCCCGGGGTCGTGGTCACCCCCTGGTATTCTTGTGGTCACCATGCCCTCCATGCCCGTGTTCACCATGGTTGTGGTCATCTCATGGTCTTCCCGTGGTCATTGGTCCCTCTACGCCCATGGTCACCCCCATGGTCACTGTTCCCCCATGGTCATGGTCACCTCATGGTCTTCCCATGGTCTTCCCACGGTCACCATCCCCTCCATGCCCATGGTCACTGTTCCCCCATGATCATGGTCTCCCCATGGTTTTCGTCCCCTCCATGCCCGTGGCCACACCCACAGTCACCATCCCCTTGTGGTCATGGTCACCCCATGGTCTCCCCATGGTCACCATCCCTCCGTGGTCATGGTCACCCCATGGTCTTCCTGTGCTCATTGGTCCCTCTACACCCACGGTCACCCCCATGGTCACTGTTTCCCCATTGTCATGGTCACTTCATGGTCTTCCCATGGTCACCATCCCTTCCATGTCCATGGTCACACCCATGGTCACCATTCCCCCATGTTCATGGTCTCCCCATGGTCACCATCCCCTCCACGCCCGTGGTCACCTCATGGTCATTGTCCCCACCATGGTCTTTCCAGGGTTGCCATCCCCCCCAGGCCTGGGGTCCCCCCCCCCGTGTCCGGGGTCCCCCGTGGTGGTGGCCATACCTCACGGAAGGCGATCCTGAGCTCCCTCATGCCCACCATGTGGGCCGTCTCCTCCCGCAACTTCGGCCCCATCATCTCCACAAAGTCCTCGAAGTCCACGCGGCCGCCCACTGCACGCGGGGAAAGGGACGGACACCCTCAGCACCCCAAACCCCAACTCCTGCCCCCCCCTCCCCGGAACCGCCCCCCCTGGCCCCGCGCTCACTCCTCATCTTGACGTGCTGGGAGATCTCGAGGAGCTCCATCTCGGTGGGCATGTAGCCCAGGATGCGCATGCAGGAGCCCAGGTCCTTGTAGCTGATGTAGCCGTCCTGGTCCGTGTCGAATTCCTTGAAGGCGTCGAGCAGCTCTGCCCCGCACACGCGGCCACACGCGGCCACACGGATGCCATCAGCTGCAGGGGTCCCCCAAGCACCAGGCCACCCCGGAGCAGGTCCCCTCCCTGTGGTATGTGTCCCCATGGCACTGCACCCCATGGCAGAGCCCTCCATGACACATGTCCCCAGTGGCACTGCACCCCGTGGCACTGCAGATCCCTCCATGACACGTGTCCCCATGTCACCGCACCCCATGGCAGAGCCCTCCATCACACCTGTCCCCGTGACATGTGTCCCCATGGCACCGCACCCCATGGCACTGCACCCCACGGGAGTTCCCTCCATGACACGTGTCCCCATGACATGTGTCCCCATGTCCCCTGTCCCCATGGCACTGCACCCCATGGCACTGCACCCCACACCAGATCCCTCCATGACACATGTCCCCATGTCCCCTGTCCCCATGGCACCGCACCCCACAGCAGACCCCTCCACAGCACATGCCCCCCGTGTCCCCAGCCCACTCCCAGACCCCCAGACCCCTCCCCACTCACCATCCAGCTCCTCTGGTGACAGCTCCCGCTCCTGGGCCGGGGACACACGGGGTGGGGACAGGATCAGCCCCAGCTCAGCCCCAACCCTCCCGGTGTCCCCCCCCCATAAACCCTAGTGTCACCTTTGTTAAGCGTGGGCCAAAATTAACTCCGGTGGGAGGGATTAAAAGGATTGGAGGAAAAGCCCTGCCTGCGCCCCCGTGTCCCATCTCCTGTCACCCACCCTGGGGCCACCCCAGCCCGGGACCCCCAGGCTCCAGATGGGGTTTGCCCGGCACCCATGGGTGATGCTGAGGGTGCTTTGTACTGCTGGAGGTGGGGGAGCAGCATGTGGCCCCCTCCCCGGGCTGTCCCCAGGGGTGTCCCTCCCATCCCTAGGACCCTGGGGTGTCCCCCAACACCATCCCCAGTGTCCCCACGTCCCCTCCAGTGCCAGGGTCCCAGAATGTCCCTGACTCTGTCCCCAAGGCCCTGTGTCCCCTCTGTCCCCAGGGTCCTGGACTGTCCCTGTCCCCATCACCATTGTCCCCATGTCCCCTTCACCCCAGGGTCCTGGAGCATCCCTCACCTTGTCCCTGTGTCCCCATGTCCCCTTCACTCCAGGGGTGCTGGATTGTCCCCGTCCCCATCCCCACTGTCCCCATGTCCCCATCCTTATTGTCCCCATGTCTCCTCCACCCCAGGGGTCCTGGACTGTCTCTGTCCCCATCCCCACTGTCTCCATATCCCCACCCCCATTGTCCCCATGTCCCCTTCACCCCAGGGGTCCTGGACCATCCCCGTCCCCATCCCCAATGTCCCCAAGTCCCCTCCATCCCCAATGTCCCCCCCTGCTGCCCCCACCTTGCCGAACACGGTGTTGAGGAGGGGGGAGTAGATCTTGGTGGCCGCAGCGTGGGGGTCCCCAGGGTCCCTTCTTGCCGTTCTTCTGCCCGTGGCCACTGTGCCGGGACTCGGAGCTGGGACTTTTGGTATCCAGGTGGCCACCGTCCTCGGGGGTTTTGGGGTTTTTTTCACCCACCTCCCCTCCTTTTTTCCCCTTACGAGGGGCCTCCCTGTCCTTGGGGGCCCCCTTGTCCCCCCGGGTGCGTGGCATGGGGCAGGGCCGGTGGCAGGCGGGCAGGGAGAGGGACCCCGGGGGGGCCGAGCCTTAAGAAGGGAACCGGGAAATCCTCTTACACCCCGACGTGGCCCCCCCACTGCCCCCTCCCCCGGCCCCGTGGGCTCCCTAGACCGAGGCAGGGCAAAGCCAATTAGCGGTGATTAGCGGCAGGAGGCAGGCACCAGCCGGGTCCCCAGCGCATGTCCCAGGGCCACCCTCCGAGTCCCCCCACCAGCACTAGCCCACGTCCCCAGCGCTGGCACCCCGTGGCCACCACCAGTGTCGTGTGTGTGTCCCCCCCCCACACTGGGACGTGACCATCATGGGATCATGGGTGCTGTGGCGGGCACAGGCCCGGCCCCCCCGTGCCCCCCCCGCCCCGATACCATCGGCTGGCTCAGCAGCCGGGGGGGGGGGGGGGGGGTGACAGCAGGAAGCCACCACACGATGGGGAGATGCCATCGCGGGGCCACCACCGCGCCCCCCCCCCCACCCTCCAGACACCTATTGCCACAGCACGTGTGTCCCCACGCCCCCACCCAGGGGGGGTCCCCACTGCCCCGGGACCCCCACCCTGATGCCCTGTGGGGATCAGCATTGCGTGACCACTGGGGAAAGGGGGGGTCCTGCCCCACCCCCCCCCCGGGAGCAGCGATAACGGGGCCACTTCTGCTCTGCCTGCCGCAACTCCCCCGCCCAATAATGGGCTGCAGGCAGCGGGGGGGGCCCTGCCCCCCCCTTTCCATCGGGTGGGGAAGCTGAGGCAGGGCTGGGGCCACCCCTTCAGAACCCCCCCCTCCACCCCCACCCCCCCACCTTGGAGCTCCCAGCAGGCGCAGGGTCAGTTGGGGGGGGTGGGGGGGAAGAAATTTGGGGGGGGGGGGGGTGTCAATGACAGGGTGGTGGGTGAAGCTAGTGGGCGGAGCTTCACACGCATGGCCCGTCCCACTTGCTCCCACATATAGGGCACCCCACAGGCGGGGGCCCCCCACCCTGGGCTCTCCCTGCCGTTAAGGTAGGTCCTACATTATTTACTGCCCTGGCCCCCCTGGCAGGGGGGTGCTGGGGTACCCCCGGGGCGCGATGGGTGTGGTGGGCACGGCGTGGCACAGTGGGTGGGGGGGACAAGCTCGGGGGGGGGGGTGTGGGATGGGGCAACACGCGAGAGGTGGTGACATGGGGAGGGGGTGACATCCGAGGGGGGGTGACACTGGATGGGGGATGACACCAGTGGGGGTGACACTGGAGGGGGTGACACCAGTGGGGGTGACAGGGGGAGGGGTGACACCAGTGAGGGCAACACCGGAGGGAGGTGACATGGGGAGGGGGTGACACCGAAGGGGGTGACACCAGTGGGGGCTGACACCAGTGGGGGTGACACCGGAGGGGGTGACACCAGAGGGGGTCACACTGGAGGAGGTGACACCAGTGGGGGTGATACCAGAGGGGGGTGACATGGGGAGGGGGTGACTCTTTGAGGGGCATGTGACACCCCCTCCCACCGCCCTGAGCCGTCCACCCTGCCCGCAGGGATGGAGCCCCCCAACGCCACCTTGTCCCCTGACCTGTCCCTGCCACCCCCCGGCTCCCTGTCATGGGACGGGCAACTGCTGGTGGCTTGCACCGCGCTGGGGTTGCCGGCCAACGCCTTCACCCTGTGGCTGACGGGCTGGCGCCTGCGGGGCCGCGGGCTGGCCACCTTCATCCTCAGCCTGGCCGCTTCCGACTTCCTCTTCCTCGCCAACTCGATCCTGCAGATCTGGTCGGTGGCCCACCGTCACCAGTGGGTGCTGGGCACCCCGCTGTGCCGCCTCCACAAGTTCCTCTACGGTTTGGGTTACTACAGCGGGCTTTTCTTACTGGCGGTCATCAGCCTGGACCGTTTCCTGTTGGTAGCCACCCCGCTGTGGTACCGGTGCCGGCGACCGGCCCGTTTACCGGTGACAGTTGTGCGCGGGAGCCTGGCTGGCGGCCATCGGTTGTAGTGTCCCGGAGGTGGCGTTGTCGGCGGCGGAGGAGACGCTGCCCTGGTTTGCTGGTTTGCAGGAGCGAGAGGGGGAGCTGGGAGGTGCCGATGCGGTGGCTGGAGGTGGTGGTGGAAGGGCTACTGCCCTTCAGCGTGGTGGTCGCTTGCCACGGGGCCACCTTGGTGCTGGCCCGGTGTCGGCGCGGTCGCCCGCCCACCCGGTTTCAGCACATCGTGGCGGCCACGTTGAGCAGCTACGTGTTGCTGCATCTGCCCTTCCAGGTCACCCAGTTGGTGCAGTTGGTGGCCCCCGGCTACCTGGGCTACCTCCTGTACCTGCTGGGCTTGGCTTTCAACCTCAGCAGTTGCCTCAACCCCTGGCTGTACCTGCTGCTGGGCTCCCGCGCCTGCCAACACCTCGCCTGCTTGTCACCTGCCGGTGCCACCTCGGTGTCACCCACCGGCGTCACCCCTGGGCCACCCACCGCCCTCACCCACGTGCCACCTCCCACCATCGCCCCAGTGCCACCCACCACCGTCACCCGCCCACCAGCCGAAACACCGGTGGGGTCCCCGCTAGCAGCTCCATGAGCTGCCACCCACCCACCCACCCCCCAGCCTCCCTGAGACACCCCCCCCCAATCCCCACCCAGCACGGCTGGGAGGTGGCAGGGGGCTGGGTGGGTGTCCCCCATGTCCCCCTACCTGGGGAGATCCTCACCACAACCCCCCACGCGTGGGCTGAAACCCCCTGCCCTGGTCACCCGTGGGGACGTCGGGCACAGCGTGATGCTGGCTGGGCTGGGTGGGTGCCCACGGGGGACCTGTGCCCGGCCACCACGTGGGGTGCTGGCCCTGTCCCATGGGGTGACCGTACCCCACGTGGGGACCGTGCCCACGGGGTGACCCTGCCCCCCAGGGTGTCCCTGCCGCACACGGGGACCATGCCCATGGGGTGACTGTGCCCCACATGGGGACTGTGCCCCCAGCGTGGCCTTGCCCACAGGGTCACCCTGTCCCACGGAGTGACCGTAACCCACGAGATGCCCATGTCCCCGGGGACACACTGCCCACGGGGTGACCCTGCCCCATGCGGGGACCACGCCCCACCAGGGGAACCTGCCCCACGGGCTGACCCTGTCTCAGGGTGAACCTGCCCCACGCGTGGACCATGGCTCAGGGGTGATCCTGCCCACGGGGTGACTCTATCCCACGGGGTGACCCTGACCCCTGCGGGGACCGTGCCCACGGGGTGGCCCGGCCCCACGGAGTCACCCTGTCCCGTGGGGTGACCCTGTCCCGTGGGGTGACCGTAACCCACGCGGGGACCATGCCACCGGGGTGATCCTGCCCCACACGGGGACCCCACGGGTGACCTTGTCCCGCGGGGTGACCGTGCCCCAATGGGGTGCCCCCCCCCCCCCTCCCGGTACCGGCATGTCCCCGCCCACCACCGCCGGGCGCCGGGCGCATGCGCGGGGCGGGGCGGGGCGGGGCGGTGCCGCTCACTTCCTGCCCCCGCCCCCTCCCGCCACCGGCTCCGCGCGCCGCCGCCACCCGCGACCCGCGGCCCCGGTGAGTGCGGGACGGGACCCTCCCCTCCCCCCCCCGGCACCCCCCCTCCGCCCCCCACCGCCCCCCGGGCCGCGGGGATGGGGCAGCCGCGGGGCCCGGCCTGGGGGGACCGATGGGACCCGGAGCGACCGTCGCCATCCCCGTCCGCCTTCCCCGGGGGGGTCGTCCCCGTCCCGGCCCCCTCACCCAGCGGGGTCACCCCTGTCCTCGTCCCTGTCTCCTCACCCGGTGGGGCCACCCCAGTCCCCCTCCCCTCACCCGGTGGGCCACCCCAGTCCCCCTCCCCTCACCCGGTGGGGCACCCAGTCCCCCTCCCCTCACCCGGTGGGGCACCCCAGTCCCTGTCCTTGTCCCCATCCCTGTCCCCGTCCTCATCCCGCAACCCATCAGCGCCATACGCGTCCTCCTTTCTGTCCCCACGCCTCTACCCACGGGGACACCCTTGTCCCCATCTCCAAAGTGGGCCACCCCTGTCCCCATCTCGGGAGGGACACTCCCTGTCCCCATCCTCCCCCCCCCCGAACCCCCATTCCCGGGGTGCTCCCCGGGCAGGGCAGGGAGGGGTTTGTTTGCCCGTCGGGCACAGGCCACCCCAGGCTTCCCGCTCCCGGGAGGAGCCGAGCCGCCCTTTACCCGGGGCAGGGGACAGGGACAAACCCCTGCCCCCCCCCCCCCCCCTTACTTCCGTGGCTCTGCCTTACATTTTGGGGTCCCCCAGTGCTGACCCCAGCCCCGGGGGCGCTCCCCAGCCATGTCGTTTCGGAAAGTGGTGCGGCAGAGCAAATTCCGGCACGTTTTCGGGCAGCCGGTGAAGACGGAACAATGCTACGATGACATCCGCGTGTCCCGGGTCACTTGGGACAGCACCTTCTGCGCCGTCAACCCTTCCTTCGTCGCCATCATCGTCGAGGCCAGCGGCGGCGGCGCCTTCCTCGTCCTGCCCCTGCACAAGGTGCCGGCGGCGATATCGGGATGCCGGCGCGCGGGGAAGGGGGGTTTCCGCGCCGGTGGGTGACACCCCCTCCCCCCCCCCCACCTTCTCCTCGCTTTCGCTTCTCCCCCGTGTCCCCCTTCGTCCCCAGACCGGCCGCATCGATAAGTCGTACCCCACGGTGTGCGGGCACACGGGTCCCGTCCTCGACATCGACTGGTGTCCCCACAATGACCACGTCATCGCCAGCGGCTCGGAGGATTGCACCGTCATGGTGAGAAGGGGAGGAAGGGGGGGGGTGATGGGTTTTTGGAGGGTGTGTGTCCCCCTTGCCCCGTTGCTCATTGTCCCCTCCGCCCCGGTAGGTTTGGCAAATCCCCGAAAACGGGCTCAGCCAGCCGCTGACGGAGCCGGTGGTGGTGCTGGAGGGACACTCGAAACGTGTGGGCATCATTGCGTGGCACCCCACCGCCCGCAACGTCCTGCTCAGCGCCGGTACGGGGAGCGGTGGTGGGGGAAAGTGGGGGCTCGGAGGAGGGGGGGGCGGGGGGGGAAGTCCCGTGGCTGAGGTGACACCCCCCTCCCCGTCCCCTCCTTTTGCCCAGGCTGTGACAACGTGGTGCTGATCTGGAACGTGGGGACGGCGGAGGAGCTGTACCGCCTGGAGGGGCTGCACCCCGACCTCATCTACAGCGTCAGCTGGAGCCGCGACGGTGCCCGCTTCTGCACCGCCTGCAAGGACAAGAGTGTCCGCGTCATCGACCCCCGCCGTGGCACCGTGGTGGCCGTGAGTCCCCCCTCTCCCGGGGCAGGAGGGGGACACACACCTCCTCCCCACGTCCCCACGGTGCCATCCTCAAAGGGAGACCCCCCCCCCTTAACCCTGCAGCCTAACGCTCTCCCGTATCCCTTAGGTGCCCCTGTCGCCCGCTCTGGGGTGTCAGGATGGTGCTGGTGACCCCCCCCCCCTCCCCGCCCCACCACTGTCCCTTTTGTCCCCTCCCCAGGAGAAAGAGCGGGCGCACGAAGGGGCTCGACCCATGCGGGCCATTTTTTTGGCCGACGGCAAGATCTTCACCACCGGTTTCAGCCGCATGAGCGAGCGGCAACTGGCGCTGTGGGACACGGTGAGGAGCAGCACCCCGGGGTGGGGGGGGTGCGTGGCAGGGGGGGGTGTCCCACGGGACCGTGCTGGGGTTAGGGGGGGTGAGTCCCACGGGGCTGACACGCCTGCCCCACAGGACAACCTGGAGGAGCCCATGGGGCTGCAGGAGCTGGACTCCAGCAACGGGGCTCTGCTGCCGTTTTACGACCCCGACACCAACGTGGTCTACGTCTGCGGCAAGGTATGGGCCACACACACACCCCCCCCGCCCCAAAATCTCACCCATGGACCACCCCCCTCGCCCACGGGACTCCTCTCAATGCCGTGTCCCCAGGGCGACTCGAGCATCCGGTACTTTGAGATCACAGAGGAACCACCCTACATCCATTTTCTCAACACCTTCACCAGTAAGGAGCCCCAGCGGGGCATGGGCTGGATGCCCAAGCGTGGGCTGGACGTCAGCAAGTGTGAGATCGCCAGGTGGGTGTGGGGACACACACCTCGCCCCCGGCCCCCCCCCTCCATTTCCTCCTCCTGCTCCCCCCCTTAACCCCCTGTGCCCCCCACCCCACCGCCACGGTAGGTTCTACAAGCTGCACGAGCGCAAGTGTGAGCCCATCATCATGACGGTGCCAAGGAAGGTCAGTGGGGACTGGGGGAGTTGGGGGGGACAGGGGCACCCCTGCCACCCCCCCTCCTCCACCTTGGGGGTGCAGGCAGCAGGGTGGGGGGACCTGGGGAAGGGGGAGGGTGGAGGGTGGAGGGGTCCCTAATCAAACTGATGGGGGTTCCAGGAGTGGGACATGGTTGCTGGTGGGGGGGTTCCCAAGTGATTGGGAGGTCCCCCAATGTGCTGAGGGGGGGCCCTGGGCAGGATATGGTGGCTGGGTGGGGGGGCCTATGGGGGTTCTGTGGGGTGCCTGGGAGTGGGGAACCCCATAGGGGCTGGGTGGGGTCCCTGGGCAGGACATGGGGGCTGGGTGGGGGGGTCCCCAAGTGTGCTAATTAGGGGTCCCTGAGAAGGACATGGGGGGTGGGTGGGGGTCCCCGAGTGTGCTAATTAGGGGTCACTGGGCAGGAAATGGGAGCTGGTGGTGGGTCCCTGTGGGGTACCTGGGTGTGGGGGTCCACAGTCAAGCTGGGTGTGTGGGACCCCATCAGAGCCAGGTGGGGGATCCCCAAGTGTGCTAATGGGTGGCCCTGGAGCAGGACAGGGGGTCTGGGTGGGGGCGTTGGGGATCCCTAATTGTGCTGGTGTGGGGGTCCCTGGGCAGACCACAGCGCCTGGGGTGGGGTCCACAATGAAGCCGAGAGTGGGGGACCCCATCAACCCCTCTGACATCAAGGGGTGTGGTGGTGGGGGGTCGGGTTTGTGTTCCCCCCGCAGTCGGACCTGTTCCAGGACGACCTGTACCCCGACACGGCGGGCCCCGAGGCAGCGATGGAGGCGGAGGAGTGGGTGGCGGGGCGGACGGCGGGGCCGGTGCTGGTGTCCCTCCGCCAGGCCTACGTCCCCAGCAAGCAGCGGGACCTCAAGGTGAGCCGCCGCAGCCTCCTGCACGACAGCCGCCCCCCCGCCACCGCCCCCCCGGCCGCCGCCACGCCGCCCCCCACGCCCCCCGCCGCGCCCGCGCCCACACGCCTCAGTGCCCCCCCCAGCCTGGGCACCGGCCCCTCTGCTCCCACGGTATGGATGGGGAAGGGGCGGGGCCTCGGGGGGCAGGGTCAGGGAGGGGGTGTGGCCTCGGGGTGGGGCTATGGAGTGGGCGGGGTTTGCAAGGCAAGGACAGGCTGGGGCAATGGGTGAGGTCAGTGGAGTGGCGGTGGGTGGGCGGGGCCAAGCTGGGAATGTGGGTGGAGCCATTGGCAGTGGGTGTGGCCAAGCTGGTGGATGAGGTGTCTGTGTATGGGGTGAGTGGGCGGGGCTGTAGAATGGGCGGGGTTTGCAAGGTAGGGGCAGGCTGAGGCAATGGGTGGGGTCAGTGGAGTGGGTGTGGCAGAGAATGGGTGGGGCCAAGGTGGGTGGGGGCATTGACCATGGGTGTGGCCAAGCTGGTGGGTGGGGCTATGGAGTGGGCGGGGTTTACAGGACAGGGACAGGCTGGGGCAATGGGCTGGGTCTTTGGAGTGGGTGTGGCAGCGAGTGGGCGGGGCCTCAGTGGGTGGGGCTAAGGTTGGGTGTGACGTGTGATGGGGCAGGACTGGAGGAGGGTGTGTCACAGGTGGGGTCGGTGTGGGCGGGGCCAGATCAGTGGGCGGGGTTTTCTGCAGGGGTGAAGCGGGGTGGGGTGGGCGTGGCTGACGGGGGTGTGGCCGTGCAGGGGGGCGGGCGGCTGGAGGAGGTGCTGCAGGAGGTGGCGGCGCTGCGGGTGCTGGTGGCGGAGCAGGGCCAGCGCATCGCCCGGCTGGAGGAGCAGCTCAGCCGCCTCGAGAACGGACACGTCTAGGGACCCACCGGCCCCCCCCTCAGGGACCACTGCGGCTGGGGACACCCCCTCAAACCTCACACCCCGCCCCCCCCCCCCCCCCGAACATCCTCCCATGGGGTCCTCCCATTGGAGGGCTGTCCGCCCCTCTGGCAGCTTCCCCCCCACCCCCATTGCCTTACTGGGTGCTGCCCCCCCCCTCAAAAAATCACGGACCATTCCCTCCCCATGTCCTCGGGCTGGGGGCTCCTCCTGGGATCAAACACTACCCCCTGCACCCCCTAAACCTGGCCCCAGGCGGGGTGGGGTCTTCCCCTCCTTCCTGTGGGGCAGGGTGCGATCTGCCCCCCCCCCCCCCCCCCCAACTGTGGAATATTGACCCCCTTATATTTTGGGGGCTTCTTCCTCCTTTCCTCCTTGTCCCTCCTCCCCTTACAGTGCAGGGTCAAAAACTATATTTTCACTCCAAATAAAGAACTTTATAAGAAAAGTGCTAGGTGAGGCTGGGGACTGGGGCAGGGGGGTGTCAGCTGGGGGGGATACGGGGGGTTTTCTGGAGGATTTGGGGGGTTCATTGTGGAGCCAGGGAGCTGTGGAGGCTGCAGGAGCCACCGGGGGAGACTTGGGGGACAAGAAGGTGAAGCTGTCATGGGGGTGAGCTTGCCTGCATCTGGCAGGAAACAGGGGGGGGCCACAGTGGGGGTGCCCTCCCCACACACACACACAGTGTTGCACCCACTGTGCCATGGGGCAGGGGGACCCCCAAATGTGTCTGTTCCCATCCCCCTGTCTGGCAGGTCCCTTCAGTGTCCCCAGGGGGTTGGTGTCCCCATAGAGCCGGATGCAACACTTGGGGGGGGGGGGGGATGTTTTAGGGCTCCCAGGACTGTGGTGGGGAGCAGAGGGACAGTGCGGGGGGGTGTGTGTATGTGTCAGAGTGGGTCCCCAGGGCTGGCAGCCACCTCGGGGTTTCCAGGGCCCCCGGGGTGCATTTTGGGTAGGCGGGGGGGGGGGGGGGTGCGTGCACACATAGAGCACCTCGCCTCCCCCCGCACCGATACATCCGTTGCGTGGGGGCAGGAAGTGCTTGGGGGCCCCCCCCCCCCCCCCCCAGCACAGCTTGCGGCTGCAGCATCAGGACCTGTTCCGGCAGCACCTGCTGATGGTGAGCACCCCAAAACTGGGCAGGGTGGGAGATGGGGTGTCTGCGATGGGGGGGGCATCCCCTAGAAGGGGAGGGAGCTGGGGATGGGGGGCCAGGCATTTCTTCAGCTTCAGTTTCCCTCACTAAATCTGGGGGGGGTTTGGCGAGGGAGGTAGCTGTGTTTCATCCAAATTTGGCCCCCCCCCAGCAGGTGCTGCCCCAGGGGTTGAGGCTGGGGGGGGGGGGGGGGGGGCAACAGTGGTGGGTTTCTGGGGCAGATCCTCCACTGCCCCGGCTCCCACAGCGGGATTGGGGGCAGCAGGGCCTGGCTGTGCCTGGAGCTGGGGCGGCAGGAGGGCTGTTTTATTTTGGGGGGGGTGGGGAAAGGTGCCACAGTGAGGCCAGGAGGGGGCCGGGGGTGGGCTGCAGCACTGCAGGAAGGGCTGCTGTGTAGCTTTGGAGGGGGGGGGTGCCTGCCCCTCCCCGCTCCCCCTGCTGTAAGTTCATCGTGGGGGCGGCAGGATCCGTCTCCTCTCCCCCCCCCCCCCCCCCCCAGCACCCACAGGTGCTGTGGCACCCCCTGACCGCAGCTTCCCGTCACGGGGCCGGTTGGCCACTGGCCCGGCACACACCACAGCCCACCTCCCCGCCAGCTTTAAAGCCCGTTGCCCTCCACTCCCCCCCCCCAACCCAGCCCTATTTTTTTAGGATGGGTGTGGGGGGGGGGTTACCCTGAAGTTGGGCTGGGTGACCTTGACCCCATTGCCCTCTCCCGCAGGCTGGAGCACGGCAGCCAGCGCCCGCACTGGTGGTGCTGGTGTTAACCGGGTTGGCAGCGGCGGGAGAACCGGAGACGATCCGCCGCGACCGGGCGGTGGGGGTCCTGCTGGGGGTCCTGCTCTGCTTGGCCGTGGGCTTGGCCGTGGCCTGGAGACATCTTTGCCGCCTTTCGGCTGGGCGCTACCACCCCCGGCCCATGGGCCACCGGGTGCTGGGGCTGCTGCGGGGACGGTGGCACCGGCTGCGGGGGGGACGGGGTGACCCCCCGGAGGATCCTGGCCACAGGGAGGTGGCGGAGGACCCCCGGGAGGAGGAGGAGGCGGAAGAGGAGGAAGAGCTGATGCCGTGGAGCCAGGACCACCGACCCAAGGAGGAGGAGGAGGAGGAGGAGGAGGCAGCCCCGGAGGCCGGGGAGAGCCCCCCGGGGGGAGAGCAAGAGGTGGGGGGCAGCGCTGAGGCCCTGCTTAGTGACCTCCACGCCTTCTCGGGGACAGCGGCGTGGGGGGACACGCGTGGCGCCGCCACCGCGCTGTGACCTCCCCCCCCCCCCCGCCTCCCGCGCTGCCCGCCCACACCCCCCCCCCCCAGCCTCCCCATTGGCTGCAAGGGCCTAGGCGCCGACCAATAAAAGAGCGGGTCTGCCCAGCTCCGGCTGCCAATCTTAAGGGAGGGGGCGTGGTTTTGGGGAGAATGGGTGGGGCCAAGGGTGTGGAAAGGCAAAAGTCCGCGGGGAAAGGGGGCGGGGCCTGAGGGAGGGGGTGGAGCCTGAGAAACGGGGCGGGGTATGAGAAAAAATGGGCGGGGATAGCGGAGAGGGTGGAGCCTGCGCCCCACCCGGACGAGGCACCCGATCCTCCCCGCCCCCGCACAGGACCACCACGGCCTCATTAAGTCCTTTAATTAGCACACATTCAGCAGCCTGGGCCTGCCCCCCGGGGGCCACACCCTTGGGGTGGGGGGGACCCTCCCCGCTCCCCCCAAACCCGGCCCAGCCTGGCAGCAGGGGGTCGTGTTTGGGGGGGTGGGACACACACACACACACGCACACGCACACGCACGCACACGCGGGGGGGGGGGGGGGCTATCCCCATAGCAGCAAGCAACATCGTGGGGTGCCCCCCCCCCACCCCCATGGGGGGCACCAGGCCCCTTCACCCCTATACACACCCTCCCCCCCCCCCAACCCCTACCTGGGCACCCGCCCCCGCCCCCCCTTCTGCTTCTTGGCACCCCCGGAGGTTTTGATGGGTAGGGGGGCCGTGACTTCGGCGGCTGGGGGGGGCAGGTTGGCCCCCAGCTCCATCGGCTCCCCCGCTGCCCCCGGCTTGAACGCCTCGAAGGGGGAGAACTTCACAGGGCTGACGGGGGGGGGGGGCAGAAAATTAGGGGGCGGTGTGTGAGGCAGGCACTCCCCCATCCCCTCATGCCCAACACCGCCCCCCCCGTTGGTGACCACCCCACCGCCCCAGCCCCTTTTCCCTCACCTCGGTGCCCAATGCACCCACCTTGTTGCCCCCCCCCCCCACTCCCAAACCCCCCTACCCCCCTGCCCTCCCCGCTCTGGGGTGCAGCAGGTACCTGACGGGGGTGCGGGGGCTGCTGTTGAGGCGGCGGGGGGAGCGCACCTTGGGCTGGAAGGAGAACCCCTCCTTGATGCTCTCCAGCACCGAGGGGGCCACGTAGGTGAAGCCCTGGAGAGGGGGGGGGTGTGTGTCATGGAGCTGGGGGGGGGGGGACGGGGTCCCAAACCCCACCAGAGTGTGTGTGGGGGTGTGTGCATGTGTGTGTGTGACCCCCCCCCCCCCCAAATACCAAGAAAGCCTGGTTGGCGCTTTCGCTGATGGTGACATCGTCGGGGCTGTCGACGGGCGTCTGGCGGGTGAAGCGGGTGTCGAACTGGCTGACATCCTCCTCCGACTGCTGCAGGGGTGGGTGGTGGGTACACCCGTGGGTGCCCCCCCCAACTCCAAACCAACCCCCTCCTCCCCTTCCCTTTTTCCCCCCTGCCCCCCACTCCTCGCCAGCCCCTACCAGGCAAGGTTTGAAGGGGGGGTCCAGCCGGCGGGCCAGCAGGTCTTCCCAGTTGATGTGGCGGAAGAAGGGCTGCTTCTGCGGGAAAGGAGAGGGGGGGGGTCAGTCAGGAGGGATTGGGGAGGGGGATCGGATCAAGCAGAGGAATGGGGGGGGGGGGGTCCACCCGGCACCCACCCCACTTGCCCATCCCTGCCTGTACCTGCACATCAGCAGCGTCTCCTGGGCCCCCCCCAACCCGCTGGTTGGGGTTTCTCTTGAGGAACTGGAAGAGAAAAAGGAGGATGGAGAGGATGATGAAGGGAGGGGGGGGCGTTGAATGTGTGTTTTGGTAGGACCTACATAAACAAGCTGGGAAGTTTTTTGGGAGGGGGGGTTGGACCTTTTTGAGCAGGTCCCGTGCGTCGGGGGTCAGGTAGGGCGGCAGCACCAGTTTGCCCTTGAGGATTTTGTCAATGGTCTTCTTGCGGTTCTCGGCGGTGAAGGGGGGCTGTGAGAGGTACCGGGTGGCGAGGAAGGCTTAGCATCACCCTAGTGGGGACCCCCCCACACACTCTTTTCACCCCCCCACACGCACACCCACCCTCCCACCCAGGGAGGAAAGAACAGGAGTGGGACTTGCCGATCCTGTGAGCATGTCGTACATCAGGGCGCCCAGGCTCCACCAGTCCACCGCCCGGTTGTGCCCACTACGCACCAGGATCTCGGGGGCCCTGGGAGGGGTGGGGTGGGGGGGGGTACCCTGAGTTGGGGGGTGGACCAGGGGAACACACACCCCCTCCCCCCCTGCCCCAATTCCCCTCACTGCCCCCGCCTCACATATACTCAATGGTGCCGCAGAAGGTGTGGGTGACGGCCCCGTCATGGATCGACTCCTTGCACAACCCGAAGTCCGTCAGCTTGATGTGACCTGTGAGAGATTTTGGGGGAAGGGGTGGGGGTGTCAGCACCACCCCCGGGGACAACCCCCCCCCAAACTCTCCTCCCCCCCTCAAGCCCACCTTGGCTGTTGAGCATGATGTTCTCCGGCTTGAGGTCGCGGTAGATGATGCCGTGGGAGTGGAGGTGGCCCAGGGCCAGTGTGATCTCACTCAGGTAGAAACTTGGGGAGCCGGGGAAAGGAGGAAGGTGGGGGGCTGTAAGCGGTGTTGGGGTTTCCCCCCCCATGGGCCCCCCCCATCCTCCACCACATCCCTACCAGGCGGTGTCCTCCAGGAAGATGCCTTCCCGTTCCAGCTGCATGAAGAGCTCTCCACCTACAAAACCACAGCCCAAGCAGGGACCCCCTGAGCCAACCCCCGGCCCCCCCTGACCCCCCAAAACCCCCCCCAGGTGCCCCTCTTACCGCTGAGGCACTCCAGGATGAGGTAGAGCTTGCCGCCCGTCTGGAAGGCATAGATGAGGTCAACGATGAAGGGATGTTTGACAGCCTCCAGGATGTTCCTCTCAGCCCGGGTATGCGCTGTGTCCTTGGCATTGCAGGCGATTTTGGCCTGGGGGGCGGTTGGGGGGGTGTTAGCGGGGCAGGGGGGCTCCCCAAGGGGGCCGGGGGGGCACGCTGGGATGCCATTACCTTCTTCAGGACCTTCATGGCAAAGATCTTCCCCGTGTTGGTGCCCTGTACTTTGCGGACCTGGAACACCTACAAGGACAAGGAGGGGGGGTTGGGGATGCTGTCGGGCAGCACTGGACGGCCCCCCACCCCCCATCTCACAGAGCACCCCCAAAGCCCCCCCCAGGGCCCCCCCACCTTGCCGTAGCCGCCTTTGCCCAGGACGCGGAGCAGCTCGAAGCAGTGGGGCCCGATGTGCTCGGGGCCGTTGTTGACGCTGCTCTCCGAGATCTCGATTTCCTCGTAGTGCCCCACGGGCCTGTGGGGAGAGGGGGGGGGGGGGAGAGGGGACGGACCCCCTGTCTGTCCCCTGTCTGTCCCCTGCCTGTCACCTGTCTGTCCCCTGCCCGTCCCCCACTTACTCCAGGCCGTTCCCCCGGGGCTCCAGCTCCATCTCCTGTGGGAGGGAGCCCACGGTCAGTGGCGGGCAGGGTGCTGGCAGCAGGCAGGGGACCCACGGCACCCACGGCACGACACCCATGGCATGCAGGGGACCCATGGCACCCACAGCACGCAGGGCACCCATGGCACACAGGGCACCTATGACACCCACAGCACGCTGGGGACCCGTGACACCCACGGCACCCACAGCACACAAGGCACTGAAGAGACACTGGGGACCCACGGCACGCAGGGGACACATGACACCCATGGCACCCACGGCACGCAGGGCATGCCAGGGACCCACGACACGCAGGGGGACCCATGACACCCACGGCAGTCAGGGCACCAAAGACACACTGGGGACCCACAGCACCCCACGGCATGCAAGGGGACCGGTGGCACCCACAGCACCCACAGCAGCACCCACAGCGGGGCGGGGTGCCACACGCCGGCGCTGCCGGATGTTTCCGGGGTGAGGCCGGGCCCTGCCCCGTGGGACCCCCCCCCCCCCCCCCCCGCCTCGCCACTCTGCCCCGTGGGGAACCGGGGGGGCACCGAACCGTCTCTGCTTCCACCCCCCGGCCCCCCCGTGCCCCGGCCCCCCCCCCACCGGCCCCACCGCGGCTGCCTGTCCGTGTGTCCCGACCCCCTCTGCCCGTCCGTCCGGCAGTACCGAGCGGGCCCCGGTGCATCCCCGCGCTGCCCTCGGTCCCCCCTCCATGCCCCCCCCCCCCCCCCCCCCCAGCCGGTGCCTCTCACCGCGCACCCCCCCATATCCACACCCCACTCCCAGTGCCCCCGTCGCCGTTCCCATTCCCAGACCACGCTCCTAATCCCGGTGTGTCCCCCCCGCCAGCCGGTCCCCGTGTGTGTGTGTGTGTCCCCTCACGCCCCTCCCCGCTGTCCCCCCCCAAGCCTGTCCCCGCTGTCCCCCCCCCCCCCCCGCCCCGGTGGCAGCTCACGGCGCCCAGCTCGGGCTCGTCCCCGTCGCTGCCCTCCTCGGTCTCCAGGTCGATGTCGAACACCCCCGCCATGACGGCGCCGTGCCGGGACCCCCCCCCACACACACACCCCCCCCCGCAACACCCCACCCCCCCCCCGGGACCCGCCCCGCTGGCCCCGCCCCTCTAGCCCCGCCCCTCCCGCCCCACCCCTCCCGCGCGTCACCGGGGGGACCCCGGCATCCCCGCCGCGGGGCGCGCCGGGAGTTGTAGTCCCGCGGGGAAGGGACACACGGACACACACACACACGAGGGTCCCGCGGCGTGGGGTGGCGGGGGGCGCAGGGACAACGACAGAGCCAGTCCGGCCGCTCACAGCCTTTACTGGGGAACCCCCACCCCCCCGCGCTGGGGTGGCGGGGGGGGGGGGGGGGATGCTCCGCCCCCGCTGCGTCGCTGTGACCTCATCGGCGCCGCCGTGACGACACTGAGGGAGGAGGAGCGCCCCTGAAAAGAGATAGAGACACCCCACACCGGCCCCCCCCCCCCCCCCAACACCACCACCCCGCTCGGGGTCCACGCGGGATCGTAGGGCACTGGTGGTGCTGCGGGGCCGGCACGGCTGCGTGCGGCTGTAGGGCACTGGTGTTATTGTAGGGTCGCAGGGGCTACAGGAATTGTGTGTTATTGTAGGGTCCGTGGTGGTGGTGTAGGCTCTGGGGCACTATAGGGGCTGTGTGTTATTGTAGGGTCACAGGGGCTATAGGGGCTGTGTGTTGTTGTAGGGTCGCTGGTGTTGTTGTAGGGTCTGGAGCACTATAGGGGCTGTGCATTATTGTAGGGTCTGAAGCGCTGTATGGGCTGTGTGTTGCTGTAGGGCACTGATGTTATTGTAGGGTCTGGAGTGCTATAGGTGCTGTGTGTTATTGTAGGGTCACGGGGACTATAGGGACTGTGTGTTATTGTAGGGTCACTGGTGTTATTATAGGGTCTGGGGCTCTATAGGGGCTGTGTGTTGTTGTAGGGTCGCTGGTGTTATTGTAGGGTCTTGGGCCCTATAGGGTCTACGTGTTATTATAGGATCTGGAGCACTATAGGGGCTGTGCGTTATTGTGGGTTCACTAGTGTTATTGTAGGGTCACAGGGACTATAGGGACTGTGTTGTTGTAGGGTCACTGGTGTTACTGTAGGGTCTGGGGCTCCATAGGGGCTGTGTGTTGCTGTAGGGCACTGATGTTATTGTAGGGTCTGGAGTGCTATAGGGGCTGTGTGTTATTGTAGGGTCACAGGGACTACAGAGGCTGTTTGTTATTGTAGGGTCACTGGTATTATTGTAGGGTCTGGGGCCCTATAGGGGCTGCCTCTCTCTATGGGGCTTGGGGCGTGCGGGGGGAGCCACACTCCCCTCTGCTCTCAGGGACACCCGGCCTGGGTGTCAGGGGGCCCCAGGCCAGCGGAGCTCGTGTGACGTCGTGGGGTCCTGGGGGTATCCCCACCCCACTGTGGGACGTCTCCCCCCTGCTGCCCTGCTTTGGGGCGGGACCCCTTCTACCCAGTCCTGGGCATTCTGTAGGGTCCCCCCGGGCTGGATTGTTATTGTAGGGTTTTCCCACACAGGTCTGTGATTGTAGGGTCGCCCCACACCAGTTTGTTATTGTGGGGTCTCACCTTCACGGTCTGTTATTGCAGGGTCTCCCCAGTTAAGTCTGTTACTGTGGGCTCTCCCCGTGGTGCTTCATTATTGTACGGTCTCCCCACGCTGGTTTGTTATTATAGGGTCTCCCTGCCACAGCTCTGTTCTTGCAGGGTCCCCCACACTGGTCTGTTATTGTAGGGCCTCTCCATGCTGGTCTGTTATTGTAGGGTCTCCTCACAAGGGTCTGTTATTGTAGGGTCTCCCCACAAAGGTCTGTTCTTGCAGGGTCTCCCCACGCTGGTCTGTTATTGTAGGGTCTCCCCACACTAGTCTGTTATTGTAGGGTCTCCCCACAAGGGTCTGTTATTGTAGAGTCTCCCCACAAGGGTCTGTTATTGTAGGGTCTCCCCACAAGGGTCTGTTATTGTAGAGTCTCCCCACACTAGTCTGTTATTGTAGGGTCTCCCCACACTAGTCTGTTATTGTAGGGTCTCCCCACACTAGTCTGTTATTGTAGGGTCTCCCCATGCTGGTCTGTTATTGTAGAGTCTCCCCACAAGGGTCTGTTATTGTAGAGTCTCCCCACACTAGTCTGTTATTGTAGGGTCTCCCCACACTAGTCTGTTATTGTAGGGTCTCCCCATGCTGGCGGGTGCCAGCACACCCCAGGCTGCACCCTCTGCTCTGCTGGGGTGGCCTGGATGCCTCTGGGGGGGCTGCCCTCACCCCCCATTAGCAGAAGTTTGTTAAGGGGGGACGCTGCCCCCCAGCCCTCCCCCTGATGTCCCCAGGGCATGGGACAGACAGGGACACCCCCCCCTGTCTTAGGGGGCACTGAGGGTGCTGGGGGAGCACAGGAGATGGGGTGTCAGGGTAATGGGGGGGTGTCAGAGGTTGGGGTGTCAGGGTGATGGGGGGGGGCAGGGGAGTGGGGCAGGTGCCAGGGGATAGGGTGCCAGGATGAGGGCAGGGGGGATGCCAGAGGTTGGGGTGTCAGGGTAATGGGGGGGCGGGAATTACCAGGGGATGAGGTGTCAGAGCAGGGGACTGGGGTGTCAGGGTAGCAGGGGGCTGTGCGGGGTTACTGGGGGATGGGGTGTCAGGGCAGTACGGGGGGTGCCAGGGTAATGGGGGGGATGCCAGAGGTTGGGGTGTCAGGGTAATGGGGAGGGTGCCAGAGGAGTGGGGCAATGCCAGGGGATGGGGTGTCAGGACTGGGAGGGGATGCCAGGGGTTGGGGTGTCAGGGTAATGGGGGGGTGCCAGAGCAGGGGACTGGGATGGCGGGGAGCAGGCAGACGCCGTGGGACGGGATAGCAGGAACCAGGGCAGCCGGGGCTGCGGAAGGAGGTGCCAGGGCAGTGCCCCCCTCCCCGCCCCCCCCATTCCCACACCAACCCACCCGCCCGCCCCCCAGCCCCGCTGCTTCCCCGGGGCTATTTGAAGTGGGAGAGGAAATGCTCGACCGGGTACCGCGGCGAATCGATACCCAGAGCCTGGCAGAGCCCCAGCAGGCGCAGGCAAGCCTCGGCCCGCGTCTCCCCGCCGCAAGCCACGCTCAGGCAGGGCTCCTCGTACTCGCCGGCCCCCGCCGTCTCCTCGAAAAGCCGGTTGAGGCGGACGAGGCCACGGCTCTGCAGCTCCCGGAGGGTCGCCAACCCCCCGCCGCTCCCCAGCACCGGCCCGTGCTCCGAACCCAAGCACATCACGCCGGCGAGGTGGGCGCGGGGCACCGGGCGAGCGGGCAACACCGGCGGTAGCCCCAGGGCCACCAACACGGCCGCCAGCAGCAAGTCAGGGCCGTAGACCTCCCGGATCCAGTCGCGCAGGTAGAAGCCCCCCATGCGGGGGTTGATCTCCAGTAGCCGAGGGCCACCGGGACCCAACTTCAGCTCTACGTTGAAGACGCCATCCAGTAGCCCGCAAGCCACGCAGCACTGCAGGGCCGCCCGCACCAGTTGCGCTTGCCGGTCGGCGGGCAAGCAGGAGGGCAAGCAGGCAGCCGTCTCCAGGAAAGCGGGCAGCCGCGTGGGGCCGTTGTCGGACACCCAAGCGCCCAAAAGCCGCCCCTCGAAGACCACCAAATCCACGTCGTGCTCGGTGCCCGGCACGTACTCCATCAGCAGCATGGCGTTGCCCCAACCCAACCCGATGCCGGGGTGATCGGCGTCATCCCGGAGGTCTCGCCAGAGCCGGGCGGCGTGAGCGTGGCACTGCCCGGCGTTTTCCACCAACCGCACGCCCACGCCGCCTGCCCCGAACTCCAGTTTGGCCACGGCGGGGAAAGGCACGGCCCCGGCCGCCCCTTCCACGTCCCCGTGGCTCTGCAAGCGGCGGCAGGGCACGGCGAAGGCGGCGGGCGGCGGGCGGCCCCGCCGGCACCGCTGCAAGTGTTGGTGGGTCCGGCTCTTCTGCTTGGCCACGCGGACGGCGGCGGGCGGGCTGCCGCGGAGGCCCAGGCGCTGGCAAACCAGTGCCGCCAGTACCACGCAGTCATCCCAGTAAGAGAGGCAAGCGTGGGGCCGTAGCCCCCGGGCGCGGACCAGCTCCACCACCCGCTCCGCGTGCTCCTCGTCCCGCCGGTGCTCCCGGCTGTCGTAGGGCAGGAAGGTCTGCACCAGCCCCGCCGCAAAATGCTCCGGGTCCGACTCTACCAGGTGGATCTGTGGTCCCCGGAGAGGTGTCACTGGGGTGCACCCACCCCTGGCACCGCAGCTTTGCCAACCCCCCTGAACACCGGCTGGGACAGTGGAGAGACCGCCTGAGGTGTGGGCACAGCTACAGGGGAGGTTGGCATGCAGCGTTCACTCTGAAACCTACTGATGGCAGTGCCCGCCAGCCGGGGCACACCAGCCTCCTCACCCTCAGGCCGTAGCCGCGGGCCGCCTCCCAGACGAAGCTCTTGCTGACGCCACCGGCCCCGATGAGCAGGATGTCCTTGCCCTCGACAAGGTGACACTGCGCTCGGTGCAGCAGGGCCTCGGCCAGCAGCCGGGG